AGTTGAGACAACCCATTGGGGAACTTCGCAGCAATCCGTATTACTCAATCCAGAAAGTGTGTTAACCCTTAAATCTAACGTGGTTCGGGGACCATACTACCGAATGTGTCCCGTCGCTATCCTGTCACTTCTCCTGCCAAGAGGGGAGCATGCCTGAAGCTGCATCAGGCAGATAGGTCCCCTCTAGCTATCATGCTTCATTCTGACTTGGGGTAGAGTCGCTCACCCACTTGGGCAGTGGGAGGTAGGTCACGTGGTTTCTGTGGGCTCAGGACCAAGGACTCTTAGAGAACTTAGAGCTTCTTAGGGTTGTCTGCGGGAATAGGTAACACTACCCTGCCTCTTCAAACACCAAACGGAGTTAAGGCAGCTCAGGAGGTGGAGGCACCTTCTAGAAGCCACACCTCTTTGTATCTTCCTGGGTAACTCCCCATCCCCAAAGACCATGACCTTGAGAATCAATGCCAGCTCCCATGCCACCCACTCTGGCTCCAAATCACCTCCCAAATTTCTGCCTGCCCATTCACGCCTTTCATTTACCTCAGAGGTCTCTAAACATTGCTTATCACACTCCCTTACCGGTGACAATTTTTTGAGAAAATATCCCCAACATGTGTAGAAAATCTCGTGAACGACTGTCGTTCTACATCATCTCGGTAAAGCTTAATTCGTTTTGCTTATTTCCGTTAAAAAAGTAGCTGTAAGTAGAAATTCTGTTTCTTCCTGCAGCCCCAGTGTAATGGCTTCTACAACCCAATCTGGAGAGCCCCGAAAAGGTCACAGGCAGAAAAGCTCACAGGCCCTTCACGCGTCCGAGACTCGCACCTCCTGGCTTCCTGCCTCCACCTTACTCTCCAGGGACGCTGGGTCTGGGCTGACGTGGCTCCAGAAACCAGCTGCGGGGAGGGGACCTGGTCTCCCCTCCCTCACCTCTGCGTCACTTCCCCTCTCAGAGGCGGGACGGGCCGCCGCGAACCAGGTATGGGAAGAGCCTGGCGGGGTGAGCTGCGGACCAGTGGAGAGGATGCGCCTTAAACCACGCAGGGCTCTAGCTCTACGGTCGTTGTTTTTGTGTGAGGTTGGAGGGGTGGGGAGTCCTGGCATGCGCGACACTGTCCCAGGGGCTGCAAGCCGCGCCCCCTTGCCTTGGTTAACACTTAGACAAGGCACAGACAGGCCCTTTGCTGGCTACTTCAGCCGCCGGGGGAGTGGATACCGCAGCAGGAGGCTCGAGGAGAGAGAGAAAGGCCCTGAGATGACCAGTCCGCGACTAAGGTGGAAGTAGAGTTGAGGTCTTCTGGTTCCTAGTCTGGGATCCTTTTCTTTCTCGTTTCTGTACCAGGTTAACCCCAGGTTAACCACTTCTTGGCCCCTGTGGCTACGGTGCTGGCACGTGACCTCCATTCCCCAATCCGAGGTGCTTCCCCAAGCTTGGAGAGGAAAACAAGGACATTTGAGGCGACCTCTGTGTGGGGGGAGGTTGGTAGTCTTGGCGGATGGGGAGTGGAAGCCTCTGGACCCCCTGCTATGAGGTCTCGAGGCATGCGCGAGGGGTTCTGTTGTTGACCTTGGCCGGGATGGCCGTTCCGTTGGCTTAGGTAAGCCGTCCGGGGAGCAGCTGCGGCTTAGACCGGAGTCCGCAGACGTTCCTGTAAGGGGCCAGATGGTATTCTTGGCTTCGCAGGACACAGGGTCTCTATTGTATACTCTTTGTTAGTTATTTGTTTTTCATAACTCTTTAAAGACGTAGAAGTCATTCTTAGCTCGAGGGCCAGAGGATCCCACGGGCTGTGGTTTGCCGACACCCGGTCTGGGGCCGCATCAGGCCACCAAGAAAATGCCGGTGGCTAAGGCAGAATTCGGTTTGGGCTCCCTAGCCGGCCGACATCGGGTGAGGCCGCCACCCAGCCAGTCCGGCAGAAAGAAGGGGGACCCAGGAATTGCCGGGGGCCCGGATCCTTAATTTTCAAAATAAGTCTTTGTAATTCCCTCCCCGCTTCGGCCTCAGTCATTACCCAGGAGACAGTCTGGCCGAGATGAAGCCGCTCTCGGACCACCCAGACTCGCTGACCAAACCTCCTGCCCCAGGTGTGCGGACCGGGACGTGAGAAAGGTTGTCAGAAATAGAAATAGTCAGAAATGTATTCTGAGTGGATTTTTGAGGAACTGACAGTCGATAATACCAGATGCGTGCGGAGAGCAGGGAAAACAGAAAGTCCCTAAACTTCCATCTGTCTTCCAGGGTTGGCGTTGGGGCTGGGTGGCGGCCGCAGCCCAGGGGATACCAGCAGCCTTTAACTTTGCCCCGACAGCGAACTAGGCCGTCCTTTAGGGGAACCTTTGTACATGGAGCCCCCCCACCCCCGGCCCCGGAGCCGGTGGCGGGGACAGTTCCTTCTGGTGGGCTCCTGCCGCTTTCAATTCCAAAACGGATTAACGCAAGGACCAGGGCAGCTCTGCTCTCGAATCTGCCATTTACATTTCACCATTTCAGACCTCACTGGTTGTCAGGTTCAGATTGACGGACCCTAAAATGCAGATGAAAGGCTGGAGAGTTAGGAGACCTCCACGTGCGGGGCCTCCTCTATCCGAGAGCTGACGAGGAGCCAACAGCAGCCTTTCCGCAAAAGCGGCGTTCGCGGCGGCTGTGTCGGCAGGTGGCGCTGTGGCACTGGGAACTGGCCTCCCTGGGTCCCGCGGCGGCCGTGAAGTCAGGAAAACGGACTCTTCTTTCTCCTTTTGGGAACCTGTTGTTTCTTTACGCTGTTCTAGAGAGGACCACGCATGCTCCAGTCTCTGGTTGGGAGAATCCCCCGACACTTGGAGGGCATTCACAGTATGGACACCCGAAACATCAATTATACACTTAATAGGAGAAGCCGAAACAGCACATCGCATTAGCCCAAAGGCCCCACCAAACAGGGTCACTTGGGCTTCCTTCCCCCACAGTGAAGTCGGGTGTGCGCTTTCCTTCTTGGGGAACATGGACCCAGAAGTCTAACATGCTTGAGTCGTGAAGCATCAGCTTTAGCAAAATTTTCCACCTGCGAGGCATGTAAGAGCTATGAAGGCTGGTCCGTGCTGGACCTTCTTTATAGTTAGAAGCTTCGGGACCAACCATGTGTTTTTCCTAAACTATGAAACGTCTGTTTGAGCCCAGGCAGTCCTCATATGGTGACTTGGGGAGCTGGGCCTTCATCGTCATCTTCCCTCAAGGCCCACCCATTCCTAGCGGACTGATTAGACAGAGGCCATCACTGACACATCATTCCTTCCCAAGATGTGCGAACGGCGGACTAAGCACAGGAAAAGCAGCTCGGTGTCTTCAGTCATTAGGGAAATGTAAATCAAACCCACAATGACACCCCACCTCACACCCACCAGGATACTGATAACCAAAGAGAAGGCAAAGTAACCAGTTTTGTGGAGGATTTGAGGAAACTGGAAACTCCTGCGTCACTGGTGGGAACATGAAATGTTGCACCCGCTGTGAAAATCAGCTTGGCAGCTCCTCAATTTCCACTCTAGGTCTAGGCGCAAAAGAACTGAAAACAGTGTTCAAACAAAAACTTGTACGTGAACGTTTATAGCAGCATTATTCGCAATTGCCAGAAAGTAGAAGCCACGCAAACATCCATCAACAGATGAATGGATAAAATAAAAGTGATGTATCCATACTATGGTAGTGTTCAGTCCTAGGCGGGAGGGAAGTTCTCATACAACATGGATAAATCTTGAAAACATTCTGTTAAGTGAAAGAAGTCAAACACAAGGGAGCACACGTGATGATTCGATCTATATGAAATACCCAGAAAAGGCAAATCTGGAGAGCTAGAGAACAGAATGGTGGTCCAGGCCAGCGCTGGGGGGAGAGAAGCCGCAGCAATGAGTGCTATGTGGGTACAAGGTTCCCATGTGGAGCGATGAGCACTTCTGGAACCAGATAGTGGTCATCACGGATCAACTTTGTGAAAGTACCAAATGCTACTGAGTCGCGTGCTTCTAACAGATTAAAATGGTGAATTTTGTATCCTGTATATATTACCATGATTAAAAAAAATATACCAACTGGAAACAATGAAATAAAATTGCCTCTACTTACAGACGGCATCACTGTATCCAGAGAAAACCCCACTCTGCAAAAATTGTACTAGAACTAATAGAGTCTAGCAAAGTCAGAACGCGTCAGTAAGTAAGAGATCAGCGGTATTTCTGTCTACTAGCAGTAAGCGACCGAAGTTTTAAAATGTCAAACAGTATTAATATTGCCACCATTGTCACTTATATTATTATTATGACTTGGGTTAGAGAATTAATTCGGCACCTTCCAGAGAAATCTGGATGCCACACAACACTTGGAACACTTGGCGGTATTGCAGACCTCCTCTGCACCCTAAGTGGCAGATAATTGGAATTCCTCCAGTTTGGAGGAAGGATGTTTTGGTTGTGATTTCTGGATGTGGTGGTTGTTGGTGGTTGTCTCGCTATTTAACTAATAACTGCTGTCCGTTCAGTCTTGTCATTACCGGTTTACTTTGTTACGGGTTTAGTTAAACTGCATGGATAATGATGCACATTTGCCTCAATTCCATGTGCGCGTGGCCTGCAATTTCCCACTAATTAGACTCTTTAAAGACATTTCTGCAGTTATCTACTCAAATCTGCATCATCTGTTCCCCTCTTGCCAAAGCAGATGTACACAGCTCCCACCCACCCCCACTCCAGGAAATAATTTGCTTATTATCACTGAGTTCTTTCTCCACTGGAAAGTAGGAACGGGGGGTGCAGACGGCTGGGATTTCTGTCCCACTGAAGTGAGAACCATCAAAAGAGCGCACACGAGAGGTGCTGGGCCGAGTGGACCTGGGAGCGGAGAACAGACCTGGAGATTATCTAAAATACGGCAACAGACTGACCAAAGACCTCAAACCCAGCCCCAGCCCCGTGGCAAAAGGATCTAGATAGCCGCCATTTCCTCAGGAATCAAGCACTGGACTCACTCCTCTCAAGTGGCTTTATTTCCCCAGTGTGGGGGGCTGCAGGTGGGATCTGTGATCCCTGAACCCCATGACCCCGCAGCCTTCTCCCGCCCAGCGGGCTGTGGCAGCGCCTTCAGAAGAGCAGTGCCTGGGCTCGAGGCTGAGCCTCCCGGAGTCGGACGGGTTCTGGGAGGAGCTGGGCCTGGGTGGTTCGCGTGGATAACACTCCCCGAGGGGGTCCTGACAGCAGCTCCGCGGTCCTCCGCCAGCGTGGGGCCCCCGTGCAAGACAAGGCCACGCGGTGCAACGGTCAAGGACCAGCTAGGACTCTGGGGGCAAACACTCCCTGTGGGGACGACTCCTTGAAGTCTGCCAGCAGGGCTCAGTCTGGAGGGAAGAGAGAACGGGCGGTGGGATGGAGAAGACGACAAAACGTGGGCGGCTGGCAAGAAGGAAGCACGAAAAGCCCAAAGGAAACAGAGTGCACCCCAGGACAAGGGAAAGGCAGCGCGCGGGAGAAAAACACTCAGAGAGAGAGGAGCAAAAGCCCCAGAATGTGCGGTGGTGACCGCAGAGGCCAGGGATAGGCACAGGCGCACCCCACAATACTGACCTTTAGGCCCAGACGGGGCTGGTGGCGGCGGCCCCCCTGGGGGCAACAATGTAGAGCGGCTCAGGGCGTCAGCCACCCAGCCCAGGACGCGGCTACAGTGCTGCACCTGGGGAGCGGGAGGGACAGAGGGTAAGAGACTAGAACCCACACCACCCCCCCCACCCTGGCCACACGCCCCCGGCCTGGCCCGGGAGTCCTCACCTCCTGCTCCAGCCCTTTCAGACGCTGCTCATACTCCCGGATCCGCCTCAACTGCTTCAAGGCTGTGTCCACCCTGCAGCCCACAACCACCAAGGGCATCAGGCCCGATCCCGCCGCCCGCTAGCCCCGCCCACCTCGGAAGCCCCACGCCCGCAGGCCCGCCTTCCTCCCCATCACTCTGGCTCCGCCCCACTCGGGCTCCACCAGGAGCCTGGCTCCTCCCTCCTCCCCCCTCCCCCCAGGAAGCCCCGCCCTCACTTTTGCGCCGTGCGTTTCAGACGCTCGGAGTCGCTCTCCCGCTTGTCCCGCGCGCGAGCCAGCAGGAAATTCTCCTTCTGCACCGACTCCCACGTCAGCAGCCTCCGCTCTGCTTCCTTGGAGAGGCAAACCCCTGGCAGGGGGGGCGAGGGCAGAGTCAGAGGGCCTGCCGCCGCCTCGGCCCAGCCCCACCAAGGCCTCCAGTGCGAGCCGGCTCAGACCACGCCCTGTGCAGGTCTAGGCCACACCCTAATACTTAACACCGGCCCCCCCAACCCTTGCCCACGTAGTGCTCCCGGCCATCTTCCCGCAGCCTGTCCGTGCGCTTCCTTCTCTCCAGGGCCTGACCCCTGCGCTTCTCCCTTTCGCATCAAACCCCCGCTCTCACGAAAATGTTCGACGACCGGGGAGGGCGGCAAGCGGGACCGACGCCTGCGTAGTTGCCGGATGAGGAGGCGCACGTGCGAGATGATGATAAGGGGCGGGGCCAGCGCCGGCCGAGAGTGAAATTCCCGGATGAGGCTGTAGCGCTGAGCCTTCCAATAGAGGTCGCTGTTTCCCTGTACTTTGCCGAAGGTGTCGCTGTGGGGAGGAGAGGTCAAGGGTCATCAGAGGTCAAAGAGGGCAGATGAAGGTTAGATAGTAGACAGTATGTTTGAAGTCCAAGGCAGCAGGCAGATGTCAGAATCATTAAGGTCAGAGGTATTACAGGATGCATTTATTAGGAGCTGGATTAGGAGGGCAAAAAGATGTCTGGGGTCAAGGGGAGACAGCGTCAGGAATTAGGGTAGAGGTTACAGTCAGGCTCAAAAGTCAGCTGAACACAAGTAGCTAAAATCAGAAATGAAAATGGAGACATCACTACGAACCTTACAGAAATAAAAAGGATTATAAGAGAACACTATCCCAACTGTACACCAACAAATTAGATAACCTAAATGAAATAAATGGACAGATTCCTAGAAACATACAAATTACCTGACTCAAGAAGAAATAGAAAATCTCAAAAGACCTATAACAAGGGATTAAATCACTCATCAAAAATGTCCCAACAACAAAATCCCAGGCCTAGATGTTGTTGTTGATGAGTTCTATGAAACATTAAATAAGTAAATAACACCAAGCCTTCTCAAATTCTCCCAAAAAAACTCCAAAAAAAAAGAGGAGAGAACAGTTTATGACTCATTCTGTGAGGCCAGCAGCATTACCATCCCAGATAATGATAACACAAGGAAACAAAATTACAGACCAATAGTTTTTATGGATACACACACAAATATCCCCAACAAAATACCAACAGACCTACTTCGGCTGCATAGTAAAAGGATCATATACCATGACCAAGTGGGATTTACCCCAGGAATGCAAAGGTGCCTCAGCATACAAGAATCAATATAATACACCACCGTCATAGGACAAAAAGAGAAAAAAAACAACCACATGATCCTCTCAAGTGGCAGAGACACAAAAAGGCATTTGACAAAACCCAACATCCTTTCATGGTTTAAAAAAAAAAAACAAACAGATAGGATTAAAAGGAAAATTCCTCAACATGGGTATAGGGTACTTATGAAAAACCTACGGCTAACACCATACTCAATGAAGAAAGACTGAAAGCTTTCAGCTAAAATAAGGAACAAGACAAGGATGCCCACTCTTACCACAGCTCTTTGTCGTTGTACTGAAAGTTCTAGCCAAAGCAATTAAACAGGAACAAGAAATAAAAGGCATCCAAATTGGAAAGGAAGACATCCAACTATTTCTTCTCACAAATGACACGATCCTATATATCAAAAATCTCAGAGAATACCAAGAAAGCTACTAGAGGGGCGCCTGGGTGGCTCAGTGGGTTAAGGCCTGCCTTCGGCTCAGGTCATGATCCCAGGGTCCTGGAGTCGAGCCCCACATTGGGCTCTCTGCCTGGCAGGGAGCCTGCTTCCTCCTCTCTCTCTGCCTGCCTCTCTGCCTACTTGTGATCTCGCTCTGTCAAATAAATAGATAAAATCTTAAAAAAAAAAAAAAAAGAAAAAGCTACCAGAGCTAATAAGCAAATTCAGCAAAGTTGCAGGGCACCAGATCACCAAAAATCAGTTGTGTTTCTCTACACCTGCAGTGAACTCTGCCATGTCTGCCAGCCAAGGACTGCCAGCAGTCTGCCAGAAGGTAGGAGAGAGGCAGGGAACAGAGTCTCCTTCACAGCCCTTAGAAGGAACTAGTCCTACCCATACCTTGGTTTTGGACTTACAGCATCCAGAACTTGTGACAGAAAAGTTTCTGTTACTTAACACCATCCACTTTTTGTTACTTTGTTAGGGAAGCCCCAGGAAACTAATACAATGGCTAATGGCCAACTAATTTTTTTTTTAAGATTTTATTTATTTATTTGTCAGAGAGAGAGAGTGCGCACAAGCAGGGAGAGCAGAAGGCAGAGGGAGAAACAGGCTCCCTCTGAGCAAGGAGCTCAATGCAGGACTCCATCCCAGGACCCTGGGATCATGACTGAGCCAAAGGCAGATGTTTAGCCAACTGAGCCACCCAGATGTCCCTGGGTGACAAGTCCATTTGATATGGAAAAAAAAATAGTCTCTTAGACAAAGAGACCTGGAACAATGGGATTTCTGCGTGCAAAAAGAACGAAGTTGGGCCCCACATCACATCCATATACCAAAATTAAGTCAAACAGACCAAGAAACTGAATATAAGAGCTAAAACCATAAAACATAGAAGTGACTCTTTATTACCTTGGATTGGGAGATGGGTCCTTAGATACGACACCAATAGTACAAATAAAAAATTCTTAAATTTTTGTGCATCAAAGGGGATTATCAAGAACAGGAAAGGGGCGCCTGGATGGCTCAGTGGGTTAAGCCTCTGCCTTTGGCTCAGGTCATGATCCCAGGGTCCTGGGATCGAGCCCCACATCAGGCTCTCTGCTCAGCAGGGAGCCTGCTTCCCCCTCTCTCCCTGCCTGCCTCTCTGCCTACTTGTGATCTCTCTCTCTGTCAAATAAATAAATAAAATCTTAAAAAAAAAAAAAAAACAGGAAAAGACAACCAACAGAATGGGAGAGGGGCACCTGGGTGGTTCAGTGGGTTAAGCCTCTGCCTTCAGCTCAGGTCATGGTCTCAGGGTCCTGGGATCAAGCCCCGCGTCGGGCTCTCTGCTCAGCGGGGAGCCTGCTTCCCTTCCTCTCTCTCTGCCTGCCTCTCTGCCTACTTGTGGTCTCTGTCAAATAAATAAAATAAAATCTTTTAAAAATTTAAAAAAAAAATCAAATACCAGTTCGCCCACTAGTTAGGACGGCAGCATTGTTCTGAAAAGGAAAATAACAACTCACGGCAAGGCTGTGGGGAAATCGGAACTCTCCTACATCACTAATGAGAACAGAAAATGGTGCTGCTGCTGTTGAAAACCGTTCAGTTTCAAAAAGCTAAAGAGAATTGCCACAGCGTACCCAGCATCCTACTTTAGAAATATATCCAAAAGAAATAAAAACAAGAGACTCGAACAGGTACACGAACACTAATGTTCAGTGCAGCATCATTTGAAAGAGCGAAGGGATGGAAACAAGTGAGTGTCCACGAACAGATGAACAGGCGAGGGAACGGGATAGACTCGTACAATGGGATAGACTCGTACAATGGAATATTATTCAGCCATGAAGAGAGTACTGGTTTGTGCCGCAACTTGGATAAACACTGAAAACTTTATGCTAAGTAAAATAAGCCAGACAGAAAATGACAAATGTTGTATGAATCCACGTATATGAAACCTCTAGAATAAGCAAATTCCTAAAGACAAAAAGCGGGCTCCAGGGGGCCAGGTGGGTCAGTGGGGAGCAGGAAGTTGCCGCTGGCTCATTGGGGACACACTGTGTGTCTGGAGCGATAACATTTTTTGGAAGTACCTAGTGGTAACGGTTGTAAAACATTATGAATTTAATTAATGGCACTGAATTGGTACACTTCACATTGGCAAATTATATGTATTTTGCCACAAAAAAACATTTTTTTTTTTAATGTTCTGCCTGGGCTCAGAGAGAGGATCAGAGTTCACAGTCCAGGTCCAGGCAGTGTCTGAATTCTCGGACTAAAGACAGAACTGATTAGGCTGGGGTCAGGGTCAAGCTGGGATAGAAAGTCACACTGGGGTCAAGGGTCACGCTGGGTGAGGTCAGGTCAGAGAGCAGTCTGGCCTCACCTGAACATGGCGATGAGCAAATTGAGCAGCAGGATGTTGGCCACCAGCAGGAAGATGATGAGGAGGAGAACCACCAGCCAGTTGGCATAGAGCGAGACGCACGAGCCTGCCTGAGCCCCCGGCGGGCGAGCCCAGAAGCCATGCTCCGATGAGCAGTTGGCATGCTCCATGAGGGCCACTGTGAAGGGAGACGGAGACCAGAGAAAAACAGAAATTCAGAGGGGCGTGGGGGAAAGAGAGCCAGAGAGAGGGAGACAGAATCGCAGAGAGAGACCCAGAGACAGGGAACAGAGAGACGCAGAGAAAGGAGGACAGAGTCGCATAGAGATGAAGGGGGTAGGGGCTACTCAGAGACCTAGAGAGAGAGGGGGACTGAGACATAAAGAGGGGGACATAGAACCCCAGGGACGGAGAGCCCTGAGAGGGGGTACTCGAAGGTGGGGGCGTCAGGCCCTCTCATCCCTCCATACCGTCCATGTCCTCCTGGGGGATCTGCCCAAAGATCTGCAGATAGGGACGGTAGAAGACACGGCGCAGGACATTAGGGAGGTCACGATCCCGGGGCCTGAGGAGCCCCTCCGTGGCCACGCCGTAGGCAACCAGCCACACACCCAGGAAGAAGAGGAAGAAGAACACGTCCTTCATCTGCGGGGTGGGAAGAGACCGAGTCTGGACCCGCCCCCTGGCATGAGCCCACCCCAAGTCACGCCCATGCCCACACCTCCCTGCCTCGCCCCTTTCCTCCTCGGGACCCGCCCACCCGACCCTGCCCCCCTCACCATCTTGTTCACGATGACGATCTTGGGCCCGAGTTGTTTGTTGACCGTGAAGATGTGCAGCAGCCGCAGCGTGAAGACCATGAAGTCGAGGCAGAGGACGGTGCGGCCCAGGTCATACAGGCCGGGGGTCAGCCTGCGGTGCGGGGAGATGCGGCAGGGCTCACTTAGGGGTCACGGGGTACAAAGGAAAACCCAGGTCTTCCCAACACCAGGCTTAGGGTGACCCCGGAGGGGCCGCAGCCAGGACCTGCTGATTCACCCCGGGTTTACCCAGATTTCACTGGTACCCGCTTAGGAATGGCAGCATAAATCAGGGCCTTGGCAAAGATTTGGGAGGCCCCCGTGACAATCAAGTCGGAAAACCTGCTGGAATATTTGTCCAACCTATAAAGGGGCAAAATAGAGAGAGTTCCAGCAAGTGAGTAAGCAGAAGACAGACGACCTCACGGGGACAGTGGATAACGAGAACACGGTTCACAGGGGGAGGTCGGATGGCCAACAGCACCAGCGACCCCTATGGGGAAAATAAAACTGTATCCCTATTTGCATCATCATGTACTTGAACCCTGAATGGATTAAAAACCTAGAGTGAAAGGCAAGGGGCGCCTGGGTGCCTCGGTGGGGGTTAGGCCGTGATCTCAGGGTCCTGAGATGACACCCGCCTTGGATCTGTGCTGAGTGTGGCACCTGCTTAAGCTTCTCCCTCTCCCCCTCCCTCCCCCAACTCTCTCTCTCAAAAATAAATAAAAAATAAAGGTACTTAAAAAACAAAAACAAACCTAGAGTAAAAGGCAAAACATGAAAATCTGAAAATACAGAATTTCTCCATGAGCTTGACTGGATGAGCTGCCACAGGACGACAAAACCTTCTACGCAAGTGATGGGTAAAACCACAACATAGGGAAACACTGATGAGTTTGACTACTCTGAAAGATAACATTTCCGTCCGTCAAGAGATGACATAAATACGATAAACAGAGAAAGGCAAAACTGCCAAAAACGCACGACCTCAACTTGACCACAAGGGCGCCTGAGAGAGACTCAAACGGAGGCAAGTCCTACGAAGTAACGGGGCTGGCCTGTTCGAACGCGTCAAGATCATAAAAGCCGAAGAAGGATGGAGGAACTGGGTAGGCTCCTGGGATAGAAAAAGGACATCGGTGGGACAACTGGTAAAGTTTAAGATCTCTTGGTTTTGATAAGGGAAGATGTTGACATCTGAGGATCTGGGTGAACGGTATAGAGGAATTCTTTGTACTGTTTTTGCCACATTTTTTTATAAGTCTCTGGTTATTTCGGGACGCAAATGAAAAGAATAAAAGAATGTTTAAGACAATATACAAAAGTGAAAAGATGAGCTGCAGACAGTGAGAAGGTATTTAAAACAAAACCACCAAAAGGGGGGCACCTGGGTGGCTCAGTGGGTTAATTAAGCCTCTGCCTTCGGCTCAGGTCATGATCTCAGGGTCCTGGGGTCGAGCCCCGCATCGGGCTCTCTGCTCGGCGGGGAGCCTGCTTCTCCTCTCTCTCTCTGCCTGTCTCTCTCCCTACTTGTGATCTCTGTCTGTCAAATAAATAAAATCTTTTAATAAATAAATAAATAAATAAAACCACCAAGAGGTTAGGGTGCCTGGCTGGCTCAGGGGGCAGAGTGTGCGACTCTTGATCTCCGGGTTGTGAGTTCGAGCCCCATGTTAGATGTAGACATAACTTAAAAATAAAATCTTAAAAAGAAAAAAAAACAAAACATCAAGGGTTAGGAGAGAGCACCGACCCATCCACACACATACACAAGAGATCAACAAACATAAATGAACATGTATTTTCTAAAATGGCGGCAAGCCTATGAAAAGACATTGACAGAGGGACAAGTGGCCATTTGCTATGAACGGATATCCAAGCTAACTAGTAGTCAGGGATGCATAAGTTTTAAAACGAGAAGTCATTTTTACCTGTCAGAATGGAAAAAAGACAGAAAAAGATCTAAAGGTTAAATTCAGAGCTACAAAAATTTTAAAGATTGAAAATACCCGGTATTGTCTGTCAGCCGCGTCCTCAAGGGGCACCCTCTTACCCTGATGATGGGCGTGTATGTGGGCAAAGCTATTCTACAAGGAAATCTATCCACGTCAAGAATATATGTACCCTTGGGGCGCCTGGGTGGCTCAGTGGGTTAAGCCTCTGCCTTTGGCTCAGGTCGTGATCCCAGGGTTCTGGGATCGAACCCCACATCAGGCTCTCTGCTTGGCAGGAAGCCTGCTCCCCCCTCTCTTACTCCCCCTGCTTGTGTTCCCACTCTCGCTCTGTCTCTCTCTGTCAAATAAATAAATAAATATCTTAAAAATAAAATAAAATATCACTGGTATTCCTAAAGCATGATAGCACATGGCTCTTTCATCTCAAAAGATACTTTTTTTTTTTTTAAGATTTTATTTATTTATTTGACAGACAGAGATCACAGGTAGGCAGAGAGGCAGGCAGAGAGAGAGGGGGAAGCAGGCTCCCTGCCGAACAGAGAGCCCAATGTGGGGCTCGATCCCAGGACCCCGAGATCATGACCTGAGCCAAAGGCAGAGGCTTAACCCGCTGAGCCACCCAGGTGCCCCTCAAAAGATACTTTAATCAAAATATAAGAGAAACAGGGGCGTCTGGGTGGCTCAGTGGGTTAAAGCCTCTGCCTTTGGCTCGGGTCATGATCCCAGGGTCCTGGGCTTGAGCCCCGCATCGGGCTCTCTGCTCAGCGGGGAGCCTGTTTCCTCCTCCCTCTCTCTCTGCCTGCCTCTCTGCCTGCTTGTGATCTCTCTCTGTCAGATAAATAAATAAAATCTTTAAAAAAAAAAAAATAAGAGAAACAGAAGCATAGTGTCCTGCAAAACTTTCTTATCTTGCTCTTGGAATAAATTATTCATGCTGAGTTACTTTGTAGCATCTCTAACAGCACAGAGGAAGCAAGCCTCTGTCAATGGAGACAGGTAGGGAGGGAGTCACTGCTGTTAACGATCCAGATTATAAAACGGGGTGTCAGATCCCTTCCGTCCTTGGAAATAGTCACTATGTTGTGTCCACAAAGCTCTTTGTCTGCTCTCTTCACAGGAACAGCGTCCTAACTGCTAGGACTTAAAAAAATAATAATAATAATAGTTAATAAATAAAAGAAAAAGAAACTTCATCAGCTAGTATCTGATTATAATGTCATGTTACCTTGAGTAGAAAATGAGACTTTGTGGCCAGACTTTTGGCTTGATTTCTACCTCTTGAAGTTTAGAATTTTTGTCTCACTGCCTTATGAAAAGAATTCATTCATTCCTTTCATTCTGGCAAGGAGAAGTCTGTCTTGTCTGATCTTTAGCCAACAATGGTCGAAACCCCTTCTTCTGGAATTTGATGCCACATTTTCAAAGACTAAGGTATCTTTGCAAATACCTATATGGAAAGCATGTCAGGACCTATTAAAAAGGAAAAAGAGTTGCAGAAAAATACATGAAATATAATGTCCTTCATTTACAAAAGTATGTTTATCTGTCCATGTAAAACCACAGAAAAAGAACAAGCAGAAAATGCACCAAACTCAGCACCAAAGGAGAAAGTGGGGAGTCTTGGAGAGACGTGGTTTCTGTTGTGTGTTCCTCATTTCTTTAATCGTGTTCACTGAGGACATACTTCTGCATTTCTTTGGTAATAGGCTATATTTCAAAGATATTTTCTGTTGCTGGGAGATGAGCTAAGTATCTTTTTTTTCTTAAGATTGATTTGTCAGAGAGAGAGCACAAGCAGGGGGAGCAGCAGGCAGAGGGAGAAGCAGGTTCCCCGCTGAGCAGGGAGCCCAATGCGGGGCTCGATCCCAGGACCCCGGGATCATGACCTGACTCGAAGGCAGAGGCTTAATGGACTGAGCCCCCAGGTGCCCCGAGACAGATGTGTCTTGAGGAGTTTAGAATCTTCCTTGAGGAAAGAGACTACACAAGCCATACTGAGAGCATCATTTGGGAAGGACCGAGAGTCGGGAGAGGATAAGGGAGGACTTCCAGAGACGGAGGCAGCAAAGCGGAGGCCTCAAGGAAGTGTAGGTATTGGCTTGGCCAAGGAGAAGGGGGAAAAGTGTTTCAAGAAGGGGGAACAGCATGCGCAAGACCCGAAGACATGAATGCCAAGACCCAAAACATCCATGTTCCCAAGGGTGTTTTGACATGCCCTTTGCCCTCTCTCTGGACACCACACAGTATGATCTGGAAGCCACGGACGAAACGAACTAACATGACACAGCCCCGTCTTGGCAACAGGAAATACCTGAGGTGAATTCCTGACAATTTGTTTTTTATAAATTAGCTAAGAAGTAAGCAGAAACAGTCAAGGTTTTTATGGACTAAAAGGTGAAAACATTCAAGCTTCCCTGGTGACACCTGAATCTGTAGGAGCGCCTGGCGGGCTCTTGGGCGGAGCCTAGGAACTCCAGATCTCAGAGCTGTGAGTTCGAGCCCCACTTTGGGGGTAGAGATGATTGAAAAGATTTTTTAAATCTTAAAAAAAATGTGAATCTAGGTCTCCTGGGTGGCTCAGTGTGTTAAAGCCTCTGCCTTCAGCTCAGGTCATGATCAGGTCCTGGGATCAAGCCTGTATGGGGCTCGCTGCTTAGCAGGGAGCCTGCTTCCTCCTCTCTCTCTGCCTGCCTCTCTGCCTACTTGTGATCTCTCTGTCAAATAAATAAATAAAATCTTAAAAAAAATGTGAATCTATAAAATTTGACCCAGGAAGACGACCCGAATGACATTAAAGCCACGATGTAAAATTCGCAAACACAAAACCTAGATTTTGGCAAAATTCAATACAGAAACACCAATGATGAGCCAAATATTTGTTGTTCGATTTACCCCAAATAATAATTAACAAAGTTGAAATATTTTCAAAAACTGAAACTGAAAATGACTGAAATGAGTTTCACTGCCCTGGGATAAAACTGGTCCAGGAAGTTTGCGGAAACTGGGAACCCCTCCCTTGGTTAAGAGCTCATCCCACTGGTAAAGCTAGGGTTACAGTGTTACGATTACGAGGATAACCCGGATTCTTACTGCAATCCGCTCCGAGGGGCTGGAGCCTAATGCAGAGAAAGGAGTGGGGCACGGGCCTGCAGAGCTGGGCAGGCCGCCACCGGGCAGCGCCCCCAGGACTGGGTGCGGGGGTGCGGGGCAGCCCCGGGAGGCAGGCCGGGCAGCTCAGAGTAGGAGGAGCCTCGTGGGGACGGACAGGAGGCCAGAGACATCCTGGAGGCTGGGCGGAGGGCCGGGAGACGGGGACAGAGGCGGGGGCAGAGCGGGGAAGGTGAGCGGCGCCCCGGCCTGGCCGGGAGACTGGGGGAAGACTGTGCTCTGTGGGCTCAGGGTGCCACCGAGGGGCCAGGTCTGGGGACCAGAGAAAAGCCCGCCAACCTGCAGATCTAGAAAAACAGCAGCCGCGGCCCTAAAGCCCGGTACCCAGGTGTGAGCGAACTAACTGCTCGTCGGGCCCCCGGAGGCGGTGCCGTCGATCAAGAAGGGACTTTATGTTTCGGGATGGAAAAGCAGGGTTGGCTCCAGCCCCGCGGGGGCGGCAGGTGGCGGGGACACTCACCGACAGCCCACGCCCAGGAGGAAGCAGGTGAGGGCCACCAGGTCGCACTGGTTCCAGGTGTCGGCGAGGTAGAAGCTCAGCCGGCGGCGCAGCGGGGCCTGCTGGGGGCCGGGCCCGGGCCCCCGGGTGGCCAGGCTGCCCCAGCCGCCGCCCAGGCCCTGGCGGAACTCCTCGCAGAGCAGGGTGAAGGCCCAGAAGTAGAGCAGCAGCTCCAGGGCGCTGGGCGCGCCGGGCTGGAAGTCGACGATCAGCACCCAGGCGAAGAGCAGCAGGAAGAGGAGGTAGCTGACCACGTTGCCCATGAAGGCGGTCACCGGCGCCCCCCAGAACTGCGGCCAGCGGCGCAGGCGTGGGGGGCAGCCCCGGCGCCTCGGCTGTCCCAGCACCCGCATGGCCTTCTTCTCCCGGGGCTCTGCCAGCCTGGGGGGAGGGGGAAGGGAGGAGGCTCAGTCTGACCTCTGAGCCCCTCTTCACTGTCACTAAGACCTCTGACCTTTCACATCTGACCTCTAACCCTGCCTGACCTGAAACCAAATCCCCGGTCAACCATCTCCTTGACGTTTGGCCCCCTATATCTAACCTTTGCCCTCTAAGATCTCCTTCCGGCAAGACTGCTGACCTTCCACCTCTGACCTTCTCCACCCTCCGACCTCTGGTGCCTTGGAATGACCTCTGACCCTGGTCTGGCTTGTGACTCCGAATCCCTCTTCTTTCACCTTCGCAACCTCTGACTCTACGTCTGACCTTGGACCGTCCACCCGACTTCCGACCCCCCACTTTCATGCGCTCGGCTCCTCAGGTTTGAAAGCCCCTGCCTGAGTATTAACGTCCGCCCCACAGATTCTGATGTCAGATCGTCTGGCCCAGGCTCCCTGTATCTGATCTCAGAGCGAGCAGCCGTATTTGGCTTCTGGATTCTGACCTTCTTGGTCCGCTCCCCTCTCTGACCCTTCTTGTCCGAGCTCTGACCCTCTGTCCCAATTTCATCCTGACTCTTCATTTGGACCTCAAACGCCAAAATGAATAATACGCATGAAAACAAACTCAACCAGCTAACGGGAAAAGTAAACTGGCTTGGGGAGGCATCTTCTTCTCATAAACCAGGCAGAAAAATAACAACCCCAAAGTGGAAACAACCCAAATGTGCATCAACTGATCAAAGGTGCATCAGCCCAAACGGGTCCATGAAATGTGGTCTATCCATTCAGCGGAATATTATTTAGCGCTGAAAAGGAAGGGCGCACCAATGCGAGCCACAACTTGGAGCAATCCTGAAACCAAGATGCTAGGTTAATGAGACCCATCATAGAAGACCACACAGCGTGTGGCTCCGTTCATTCACCACGTCAGGAACAGGGGAATTGATTGAGACGAAACTCCTGATAACGAAAGTTACTGGCCACTGAGGGCGGGGGGAGGGGAGGAATACAGAGTGACCATGAAGGGATACAGAGGTTCTTGTGATGGTGACAAAAATGTTTTAAGATGGATTATGGTGACAACTGCATAATTCTGTGCATATACTAAAAACCACTGAATTGTAACACCTTAAATGGGTGAACTGAATAATATGCGGATTTTATCTCAGTAAAGCTGTTCTCAGGAAAACAAGAGGAGGGTATTATAAAAGCTGAAGAAAGTGCGATGCAGAGAGGACAGAAAGTTCCCTAACGCTGAGGGAAAACAGACCTGGTATTTTACTTTTCACCCTCTGCCGGGCCCTGGAAACAAGAACGTGTGGTCAGAATGCTTCCTGCCATCCGCCACCTTGAATCAGGCACAACCAGGCCTCACAGACTCCAAGGCCCATCTTGAGCCTCTCTGGGGAAGGATCCAGGAATCTGTCCTTTTACAAAGCTCACCATGGAGGTGGCAATCCCCAGCAGCTAAGAACACAGCTTCAGGAACAAGATCTGGGTTCAAATCCCAACTCTGCCACCTACCAGTCACATGAGCTGAGGCAAATGACTTAGTGCCTTGGCGATTTCAACTGTGAAATGGGGATGATAACAGACTCTACTGCATAGGGTTGTTGAGAAAATTAAATAAGCTGTTTTTCAAAAGGGTTTAGCACACTGGCTACCCTCTGTAAGTGTCTGTAGCATCGGCTGCCGTCACCATCATGATGCAAAAGTTGGGAAATCCCTGGGCAAGGACATCATGATTGGTCCTGACACTGGGGACTTCTAGCCAACCTTTTTCAGTGGTCCCAACTCCTTTCTTAGTTTTCTCTTCTATCCTGGCAAACATATTGTATTCATTGTGCGTTGTCTCAGAAAAACAATTTTGCATATACGTATCTCAATTTGACTGCTCCTCGAGGCATGTAGTGGGTCTTATAGACTTCTGGTTTCTGACCATGCTTTGAATAGTTACCTGAAACATTTTTCTTCTGGAATATTGGGGGCCAGGGTCCTTTCCTTTTCTTACTACATCGCTAAAGTAGAGAAGGAGGGTACAAGGAGGAACATAAACGTGGGCCTCTCTCCCCTTTCTCCACTACCAGAGATTCAGACCCTGATGCTCATACCCACCACTCAGCAAGATAACTGAGACATGGATCAATAAGAAACTCCATTAACTGACTCCTTCCTACGTGCCAGATGCCATGATGCATTCTCTGCATTCTCTCCCGGCTGCTCCCCCAGGTGCTGGGCACACTGAGCTACTCCACACGAAATATTCTGGTTCCCTCTCGGTGGGAGGACCAGGAGCTAAGGGATTACCATATGCCTCACTTCTGCCCATGAGATGTGGGCACAAGTGACACGTGTCCCTTCCACATGAGGCTATAAGAGTAAGTACCTGGTTTGCCATTTCTCTTTTCCCTCTGCTATGAGACCAGCCACATCCCAGCTCGGAGGGGCTCCCTCATCCCAAAGTGGAAACCAGAACGGAGCCAAGACACAGACAACCCAAAAATGGGGCAGGAGGAGTAAGCCTTCGTTGCTGACACTCTCGGTGACTGTAGGATGCTTTCTTTTTTTCTTTTTCAGACTTATTTACCTATTTTAGAGAGAGAGAGCACCAGTGGGAGGGGCAGAGAGAGGGAGAGAGAGAATCGCAAGCAGACTCCACACGGGGCGTGGGGTCCGATGCAGGGAAGGATCTCACAACGCTGAGATCACCTGAGCCGAAACCCAGAGTCAGACGCTCAACTGACTGCACTGCTCAGGTGCTCCTCGCTGTTCTCCTTTGCACCCTGCCCAACCTATCTGACAGAGGCACAGCTTTCCACACACATCCATTTTACAGAGAAGAATCCTGAGGCTTGGAGTCACTTCTAAGGTCAAAGTTAAGATTTGAACCCAGGTCTGTTCGACTCACAGCCAAGTCCCTCAGCATCTCCACTCTGTGGCCTTATCAGACATTTGATAGATGCTTGCTTAGGCCTGGGTACCCCAGCATAGAGATTTAAGAGCAAAGACCCTTGGAGTCAGGAAAAAAAAAAAAAAAAGATGGAAGATCTCTAAATGAAGCAAATCCACCTGATTCCACTTGCTACGTCAAGATGGAAGAACGTGTAACATGAAGTAAACTGGTTTCCAGTGAGGACCTCCTTCGTGGCAGAACCAAACCTTGACCCAAGCCTCGAGCTTGGCATTTGGGAAACTTCCTTGGTTTCTTCAGTGGTTTCATGAAGCCATCACCCCCCGAAGCTCCACTTCTCCTCTCTGGCTTTGTTGCCAGCACCTGGTGCTCCTGAAGCTGCCCAGGGTGCCCCAACTCCCTTTACCCCACCTCACTCACCCAACAGGGCCTTCCCCGTTGAGGCCCCGATCTATGTCGAATGCCAGGTCCTTCTGTACGGACTCATCCTCTGACTTCCTGGCATGAGAAAAGCACAGAGTGAGGAATGGGGGCAGGGGTGAGTGGAAGAGGAATTCTCCAGAAAGAGACCCAAACCTCTTCACCCAGAGGCCTGGCAGGGAGACAGTGAGGCACTTTCCAGAGTCAGCCCAAAGAGACCTTCTCCCGGAGCCATGGCCAGAGGGCAGAGGAACTATTCCCCAGAGGCACTGCAAAGAGCCCTCCCAGGAGCTCACCTCCCAGACACGGCCCCAGCCTGGGGGAGGGAAATAGAGCAAACAGGGAGGGAAGCACAGGACAGACCAAGTAGGAAGGCAGCCAGAAGTGAGCAGGAAGGAGAAACCGAGTGCCCCCCTCCTGCCATTCTAATCCCAGGGACTGACCTGAAGGTGATGAGGTTGGTGTAGATGAGTGGGGGGCAAAAGAAGGCGAGAACCAGGGCCCAGATGGGAGTGGTGCTGTCCATCTCCCCCCACCACTTCTGTGTCAGCAGAGACTGTGGGGTGTGAGGAGGATTAGGAGCCTGAATGTCCCCCACAGCCCCTTTCTAAAGACCCCAGGCCAGAACTGGGCCACAGCTGCAGCATCAGCACAAGCACTCAATATGGCGACCAGAACTACTGGGGATGGGGGCAGGAGGTCAAAGGTGAGGATGACCTGCCCAAGGTTTTAGCTGGTAGAGTTAAACAGCCACCATTTATTAACACAACATGCTAGATACTGGGCTAAGCACTTCACATAGGTTAGCCCACTTCCCCCTCACCACACTCCCAGAACCGGTAATAATATTTTCTCTCTTTTCACAGATGGCGCACGGGGAGGTTAAACAAGAGGCCCAGGCTGGAATCCACGGGTTTAACCACTATTTGAAGCAAAGAGCTCTGGGTAAGTAGGTGAAATGCCAGCCAAATCATTCTGACAAGTGAGGATGGGGCTTCCTGTTGGGGTAAGTGGACTTCCTGTACTGATGGTGGGACTCTGAGCCCATCAGATTTTTTTTTTTTTAACTAAGCTTTACACCCAGTGTGGGACCTGAACCCTGAGATCCAGTGGTGTGCTGTAACTCACTGAGCCAGCCAGTGTCACGCCCTTATCAGATTTACATTAAGGATACGGAGAAGAGTATTAAATGTCAGGATGGACGTGATGGGAGAGACGTGGGGGCAAGCGGGGCTTCCTGAAGGAGAGGATTTCCTATGGGAAAGGTGGGCTTCCTAATCCAAAGTTTGTCTATGCCTAAAACACTAGGTAATTGTTCAGTGAGGTCATTCTAATTGTGGAGACCTGGAAGCAAGGACCCCTTAAGGAAGTGGGAGGGACTTCCTATAGATGACTAGGGCTTCCTTTGGAAGAAATGGGATTTCCTGTGGGAGTGGGAGGACTTCCTGTGTGACAGATGGGACTTCCGGTGGTCACCAGGAATTTCTGTTCAGGAATAGAACTTTCTAGGAGGGTGGGCTTTGCTGTGGGAAGGTTGGCTTTCCTGTGGCAGGGGGTGCTTCTTCTGGGAAGTGCAGCCCTTCTGGGAGAGAGTTTCTGGAGGACAGGTGGTCTCCAGGAAGAGCGGAGGCTTGTCCAGACCATTCACTGCCCACAATGGCAGGGGCTTCTCCTCCATACTTCCCGAAGTTTCCAGGTGGGAACTGTGTGGGGTGTTGGCGCCTCAGGTGCTTACCTGTACCCCATCCTGGGCAAAGAAGGCACGGGCATCAGCCTGCATGGCCAGCTGGAGGCAAGTGGCATCCCCCCAGAGTGGGCAGCGGCGGAGGAGCAGGCGAGCGGCCCGTTTCTCACTGCTGCGGTAGCACTCACCGAAAAGGTCTGGCGCCGGGAGATTTACGTGGGAGGGAAGAAAGGGAGTGAGGACATGGTGTGAGAGGAAAGATGAGTGCATTGAGGAGGAAGGAGCAGGGTTGGGAGAAGAGGAGTGGGGAGATGCACAACTTCTTGCATGGCAGCTCCCTGTCCCCTGCCGCCCGACACACCCATGCCTTACTCACCAACGCCCAGACCCTCAAACTTGGCTGCCAGGTCCTTCCTCCGTGCTGCCTCCTCAGCCTCAGACTCCAGGCGTGCCAGCACTCGGAGCAGCAAACAGGCCCCAAGAGCTGAGGCCACAGCGTTAGAGCCCTGGAGAGGCAGAGAGAGGGGTCACAGAAGGGGACGGGGAGGGAGGCAAACCTGTGGTCACGGGAAAAGGAAAGAACCAGAAGTCAGGAATTAACCAGGGTCATCAGTGGCCAAGGATGACGTAGTGTTTGTAGATGAATCTGAAAGAAGCTGGTGGTCATCGGGTGAAAAATGTCCAAAGTCAGGTTGTTTGGGGACCAAGGGCTGAGACAGAGTTAGAATGACATCAGAGGTTAGAGACAGGTCAGGAAGTGGCTGGTGATGTCACCTAAAATGGCAGAGTAGAGAACTTCAAGACTGTGTCTCTCCACAAAAGCAACAGATAAATTGCCAAAAGCTGTCAGAGGCAACTTTCTCAGAGCTCCAGAACCGAACATAAAACTTACAACAAATAGGAGAAAGCTCAACGAAGAGAGAAAACACAAGTTTCAGCAAAAGAGCCCTGTGACATGTGAACTACTGCTGTCAAGTCCACAGCTCCAGGGCCACCTGGAGGGCAACAGCCCATACTCTCGGTGCAAGCTGTTGCTACCAGAAGGGGCAATTCAGATCTGACTCTCAAATCACTGTGGTTGCCCGTGTGGACTTAGCTGTCCCTGGAGGGTCAGCTCAAGGGTTTGTCTTCATTTCACTGTTTTGGGGGCTTTTCCCCAAGCAGAAATGGCTCCCCAGGTGGTGTTTGAAAGCATTTCGAGACAAATGCATTAGCCTCAGCTGACTGAAGCCAAGAATAACATTCAGGGTTCAGCAAAAACTGGATAGTGGGGAGGGAAGTGGCTGAGGAAGGAGCTACTCCGAAGAATAAGGGGCTTGAAGAGATCCTACATGGATCAGGGAAAGGCCACCTACATGACCAAGACTGGGTGCAGGCTCAGAAAAGTCCAAAGAAAACCCTGAGCATTCACCTCTTGCGGAACTTTCACCCCAGCAAAAGCAGGAAGTGAAGCTAAGAACTGTAAACAGCCTGCCTGAGTATTGAAATACAGCTCCGACTTGGAGCCCATCTGCAACCCAGCAGTGTTTTGCTCCCCAAGCCCAGCCTGGGCACTTAAGGAATTCTCTGATGAGTCACTAGCTGGCCACCTAGCTAATAGAACAGGGACTTCAGTGGCCACACATGACAAAGCATACACAAAAGCAAAGCCTTTACACAAATAGCGCAGAAAAGTCACTAAGCAAACACCACCACCAATAGCTCATAGCAAGCTACAACAAATCCCAGAGGAAAGGATAAGCTGGTTTTCAGAAGTGCCACATTATAATATTCAAAATGTCCAGTTTTCAAAAAAAAAAATATGAGGCTTGCAAAGAAACAAGAAATTATGGCATATTCCCAGGAATAAATAAATAATAACAATAATAATAATAACAACAATAATAATAGAAAAAAGAAAGAAAGAAGGAAAAGAGAAGAAAAAAATCAATAGAAACTGTCTCTGTCAAGCTCAGACTTTGGACTTAACTGCACAAAGATTTTAAATTGATTGCTTCACAAATACTCAAAGAGCTGAAGGAAATAATGGACAAAAATGAAAGAAAACCAGGAGAAGGATGTCTTACTAAACAAAGAATAGGAACAGAGAGACAGAAATTATCAAAAAGGAACCAAGTAGAAATTCTGGAGGTAAAAAGTACAATAACTGAAATGAAAAATTCACTAACAGGCCTCAACAGCAGCTCTGAGGAGGCAGAAGAAAGAACACATGAAGTTGAAGACAGATCAGTTGAGATTATCTGGTTTGGGTGCAAAAAAATAAAAACCAAGAATAAAGAAAAATACACAGATCTGAAGAAATGTGTGGGGCACCATCAACCATACCAATATATGCATAATGGGAGTCCCAAAAGAAGAAGACAGGGAGAAAGGGCTAGAAAAGAATATTTCGAGATTGAAAAATATTTCGAATTATAAAGATATTTTGAGTTTGGGGGACTAAAACTCCCCAAATTTTGATGAAAGACATGGATCTGCACATCCAACAGCAAAGAAAACAAAGCAGGATAAATTTTCAAAGAGATTCACATGGAAAAACATTATCATCAGGGCGCCTGGGTGGCTCAGTTGTTAAGCGTCTGCCTTCAGCTTGGGTCATGATCCCAGGGTCCTGGGATCGAGCCCCACATCAGGCTCCCTGCTTGGCAGGAAGCCTGCTTCTCCCTCTCCCACTCCCCCTGCTTGTGTTCCCTCTCTCACTGTGTGTCTCTCTGTCAAATAAATAAATAAATAAAATCTTTAAAAGAAAGAGAGAAAGAAAGACATTATCATCAAATTGTCAAAAGCTGGGGGTGCCTGGGTGGCTCAGCTGTTAAGCATCTGCCTTCGGCTCAGGTCATGACCCCAAGGTCCTGGGTTCAAGCCCCGCATCAGGCTCCCTGCTCAGCGGGAAGCCTGCTTCTCCTTCTCCTGTTCCCTCTGCTGGTGTTCCCTCTTTGGCTGTGTTTCTCTGTCAAATAAATAAAATCTTTTTTTAAAAAATTGTCAAAAGCCAAAAACAAAGAGAGAATCTTGAAACCAGCCAAAGAGAAGGGACTCATCACACATAAGAAATCTCAGTAAGATTAACAAGTAGACTGTTGTGCTGGAAAAAAAAAAAAAAAGATTAACAAGTAGGATTAAATAATGATAATATATATAATTTTAAAACTCAGAAGATAACATGGGAATAAAACTTCATGACCTTGGATTTGGCAATGGTTACTTAGACATGACACCAAAAGCAAAAACAAAAACACAGACAAATTGGACTTGATCAAAATTTAAAACTTTTGTTAATCAAAAGACACTATGAACTGAGTTAAAAGACAACTCACAGCAAAGGAGAAGAGATCTGCAAATCATATACCTGATAAGGGATTAATATCCAGAGCATATAAAGAACTCATACAATGCAACCACAGAAAATAAGACAAACAAACCAATTTAAAAAATGGTCAAAGCAGGGGGCAGGAGTGGCTCAGTCAGTTAAACATCTGACTCTTGATTTCAGCTCTAGTCATGATCTCAGGGCCATGAGCTTGAGCCCCTCATTGGGCTCCATGCCGGGTGTGGAGCCTGCTTAAGATTCCCTCTCTCCGGGGCACCTGGGTGGCTCAGTGGGTTAAAGCCTCTGCCTTTGGCTCAGGTCATGGCCTCAGAGTCCTGGGATCAAGCCCCACACTGGGCTCTCTGTTCAGCAGGAAGCCTGCTTCCCCCTCTCTCTCTGCCTGCCTGTCTGCCTACTTGTGATCTCTCTCTGTCAAATAAATTTGAAAAATCTTAAAAAAAAAAAAAAAAGACTCCCCCTCTCTCCCTCCCCACTCACTTTCTCTCTCTCAAAAAAAGGGGAGGGCCCCCAAAGGACCAAAACAAACATTCCTCAAAAGATATGCAGATGGTCCATAAACACATGAAAAGTTGCTCCATGTCACCAATCATTAAGGAAATAGGTCAGGGACGCCTGGGTGGCTCAGTTGGTTAAGCCACTGCCTTTGGCTCAGGTCATGATCCCAGCGTCCTGGGATCGAGTCCCACATCGGGCTCCTTACTCAGCGGGAGCCTGCTTCTCCATCTGCCTCTGCCTGCCACTCTGTCTGCCTGTGCTCACTCTGACAAATAAATAAATAAAATCTTAAAAAAAAAAAAAAGGAAACAGGTCAAAGCCACATAGGGATGGCAATTACAAAAAACAAACAAACCGAAAATACCAAGTGTTGGCGGAGATGTGGAGAAATTAGAACCCCTGTGCCTCACTGGTGGGAATGTAAAAGGGTGCGGCCTTTTACATACAGTATGTACACTGTATGTACATACACATACAGTGGAAGGCAGTATGGTGTTTCCACTACAGCTTAAGCCTAAAATTATTATCTGATCCAGCACCCCCATTCCTCGATGTGGCCTCAAAACAGCTGAGAGCAGGGACTCAAGCAGATACCTGCACACCGATGTTCCTCGCACTGTTATTCACAATAGCCAGAAAGCCCAAACAACCCATGCGACCATCAAGAGGTGAACAAAACATCACACGTTGACAAATGGAATATTATTCAGTAACAAAACGGAATGAGGAGCAGATACGCCCTGCAACTTGGATGACCCGTGGAAACACTATGCTGAGCATAAGAAATCAAGAGCAAAGGGCCACCTACAAGAAGATTCCGATCTATAAACATCCAGAAGAGGCAACTCCAAAGTCCATAGGGACTAGTCATTGCCAGGGGCTGGGGGAGGAGGCAGTGGGGACTGAGTGCTAACTGGATATGAGGTTTCCTTTTGGGATGACGAAAATGTTCTGGAACTAGACAGACATGGCACAACACTGAGTGTGCTAAAGGCTACTACTGAATCATACAATTTTAAGTGGTTCAAATGGTGAATTTTATGTTATATTAATTTTACCTCAGTGAAAGATAATCTATATTTAACCCATGACTTGAGGGTTTAAAAACAACCCAAAGCTGAAAAAGTCCTGTCAAGATATTTTTCTTTTTTTTTTTTTTAATTTTATTTATTTGAGAGGCCGGGGGAGAGAGAGGGAGAGCTCAAGCAGGGGGAGGGGCAGAGGGAAAAGCAGGCTCCCCACTGAGCAGGGAGCCTGATGCGGGGCTTGATCCCAGGTCCCTGGGATCACAACCTGAGCTGGAGGCAGATGCTTAACTGACTGAACCCTCCAGGTCCCCCCCCATCAAGATAGTTCTACAGCATAAAAATAGGTTCTCTCTTAAATTCCACTCAAATCCTATGACCTTTTTTCTTCTCAAACTTCCCAAATGTGTCCCAATGCCTCCATCCCACCTGTTTTTAGTCCAGGCCCCCACCTTGGCTTCCTGGAAGCTTCCAGATCTACCTTCTTAGCTGGTGTCCTTGCCTCTAGTGTGCAAGTGTAACTACGTTTAAATGACTCCCCATCAGCTCCCAGATACCTTCGAACTTCCCCATACAGGGAACCATTCCGAGAGAATGTGACTGATTCTCAGGTATGAACAAGGGGAAACACGCAATATGCATTGCTAGCGGAAAACACAATTAGGAGACAGTTAGGAGAACTGCATGATATTGGGGGGTGAAAAGGAGAAGTAGCAGGTGGAGTCACAGATCGGCACGGAGGGGAGGCTGGGATGGGGGCCAGGGTGATGCTGGAGGTCGGGGACTCTTACTGCTCAGGCCCTGGGGTCCAGCAGGGATAAAGGATGGGAAGACAGAAGAAAGGAGAATACGAGACCAAAGCAGCACTCACCATCTCCCAGAAGTACACGGCCATCTGAGCTCTGTTCAGTAGCAGCGCCCAAAGGAGCAGGTCACTCCAGGGGGCCTGCCCGAGGATGGCGTCCAGCATGAGCTCAGAGGGGGCCCTGTCCGACAGCAGACCCACCTGCAGGCAAGGGAGGCGTGGTGAGGACCGGCCCCTGACTCCGCCCAACCACCAGCTCCACCCTCATCCAGGGGCAAACCCCCAGATCCTTCAGTGCCTCCCCCCCACGCCCCACCCCCAGGCTCTCGGGCCTCGTCCTTACGCTCTCCCTGCAGCCTTGTCCCTGGTGGGGATCCCCGGCGCCCCCTGCGCTGTACCTCGGTGCGCGCGTCTCCCCCAGCAGCATTCGCAGCACCTGCCCCACGTCAGGGGGTCGGGGCTCTGCAGGGGATTTAAAGACTGGGCTTTTGGTGCCTGTGCCGTGGGACGCCTGGTCCAAAAGGCTGCGGATGAGCGAGTTGGGGGGCGCTGCGCTGTACAGCTGGGTCAGGCGCGCCGGGGTCAGGAAGTGGCCCACACTGAGGCCATGGGAGATGAGGAGACGCACGAACTCGGGCCGGTCATTCAGGAGGGCGTCCATGAGGGAGGCTTCCAGGTGGACGGACTGGCAGGGGCGGGATGGATGGGGAAAGAGGTGAGCACACAGCCAGAATGCCAGGTGAGGTCAGACGTTAAGGACAAGAGATGGGGTACAGAGCTATGAGTGACGGGTGCGTGGGTGGATGGATGGATGGATGGATGAACATAAGGATGGATGAATGGATGGGAGGAAAGATGGGAACAGATGGACGATTAAGAGAAGGCTGGACAATAATGGAAGACAGAGCCAGCTGCAGAAGAAGTCAGGCAGGGAGGAGAGTGCATCCCCCTTGTCAGGACCCACAGCCCCCCAGGCCTGCCCCCTCACCCGCCATTCAATGTCCCCCCGGAAGAGTTCACTTTGCGCAATGTCCACACGATTCCAAGCCACAGCCAAACGCAACTCGTCCAGGTAAGCTGAAGCCTCCGAGCTCCCACAAGCTGAAAGAGTGAGAGGGAGAGGGGGCGAGAAGTCGGGGGTGGGAGGCGGGAACTTCAGATGAATGTCTGCTTTGCTTCAGTGGGAGATTATGTGACATTAAACCCCAAATGAAGGGGGTGTTGTTGGGTAGCGTCTGGGGTCTTTAAGAAGTCAGGCTGTTGCAAGCATAAGATCGTTAAGCTCAGCACAGGGCAGACCAGCGCTCTAGAGTCCTCAAGAAGAAGGAAAGGGAATCATGTATCCATTTCACACTTATTGACGTAGATTATGGACCAGGTAATGGGAGGGATGGAGAAAGAAACTGGATATAGGCCCTGCCTTGAAGGAGGTCCTTCCAGACAAGTGTGTCCAGGATCTACATAACTACCCTCCAAGGGATTGGTGCCCTCGCAGGTGGGCACAGAATAGGATGAGGGGAGACGACACTCACAGGGGTGTGGCGTGATCCAAGGGCGCCTCCTAGAGGACGGGCATGCAGGTAGGGCTTTTGAAAGATGGGCAGGATTTGGAGGTGCGCATCTAAGATGAGAAAAGAAGCTTCAAGGAAACAGGAAAAGCCTGAGCTGAGGTCTGCATGCAGGCAAGCGTAGGAGGGGGCAGCAAACGTGAGTCCCTCTGATGTCCTGGAAACATAAGGGTATTTGTGAGAAGACAGAGAAATGAGCAGCAGAAAAGGAGGTGGGAAAAAATCCGAGCCTCAGCGGCGCTCCAGAAGGCCCTGGAGGTCATTAAGAAGAATGAGGAAAACCAAAGGCCTTTAAAACTTTGACGCAACAATTAACACATCCAAACATGTACGGCCAACAAGGGGCCAGAAAAATCGGAAGCATCCAGCAAAGGTTCCAAGGAGAAGTAGAGCAAAGTCTAGGCACTGCTGGCGCCCAGAGCACCTGTGCCATGGCGTTAGTTTTTCTTTCTGTGTCTACTTGCTCCACATCGATTTCCGAAGCAAAGGAGCGCCATTTTGGTTGTTCCAAAAACTGGAATGGCAGGACTACGCAATCTAGTGGAGTGCAGATGCACAATGGGCTCTGAGGCAGGCAGACCCGGGTTCCAATCCCAGCTCCACCAACACCAGTGAGCATCTTCAGGAAAGCCACTGGACCTTGGGAGCCTCTGCTCCCTCATCTATAAAATGGGAATAATCATGGTCCCCACTTGGCAGCACTGTTAATGGTGATAACTGTGGGACGGAATTCCAGAGAGGAATCTGCCACTGGGCCAGCGGAAACTCGAAGGGGTTAAGGGGACAGGTCAAGAGAGAGGCAGTCACATGCCTAGGACGACATAACTTTATATACATATTTTATAAGTAGGCTCCATGCTGGGTGTGGAGCCCAGTGCAGGGCTTGAACTCACGATCCTGAGATCAAGACCTGAGCTGAAAAGAATCAGACATTTAACTGACTGAGCCATCCAGGTGCCCCTATATTTCTTTTCAAAACCCAGAGAAGCGAATTCAAGGATTTTCTAAGATTCCGTAGATCTCCCTGACTTTCCTCCAGTTTCAAGATGAAAAAAAATATATATCTCATTTCTATTGTCTTAACACATCTCTCCATTTATCACCTAGACCTCCTCCCACCCTTCACACTCACCATGCCCCACATGGAGCTCAGCACCGACCCTCCCTGGGTTCTGCATCTTAGGGATGGCCCCTTTGTCCACCCAGTCAATGATGCAGCCCCCCCACCCGCTCCCCATGCCATCTCTGCCCCTCCCTCCTTTCCTTCACATCCCCTAGCTCATCAATCCCCAAGTCCCATCCCTCTAGCCCCTCCCCCAACCCTCTCTACCCTACACCCCCCTGCAAGCAGGAATGGAGGATTATGGGCCAAAGGTTTGCCAACTGCTCGACACCATGCCTGGGCTCATGCCACAGTCTTAGGAGCACGCACCACTTCCCCACTTCCTTCCTCACCTGCCGAAACCCCAGCCAGTCAACTCCGCTATCACTGAGCCCGCCCAGCCGGCTCCAATGTCCCCAGTGGAGCGGGATCGCTTCCACTTCTGCAGGCAATGGACTGACAACACTAACCATGCCTCTCCCAGGGCCGCCCTCTGTTCTCCCAAGAGCCTAGTGAGTTGGCTGCTGTGAAATGAATCAGGTTTGCTCACTGACTGCCATTCACCCTTTATGGGACGTGGAGTTTTTACCTAAGTGGGTGTTTTCCATGTAAAACTCCGTGTAAAACGCCTCTCCCCCCCCCCCTCAGCCCCACAGAGTTCTAGGAATCCTCCTTACCATTTATTTACCCTACCTCCCCATCTCACTAAGTCCGGATTCTAGCTCTTCAAGACCCATTTAAATAGCTCCTCGTCCTTGTCTCTTTACTGATAGCGGCTCCCCTCTCCATGCTTTGGTCTTCCATTTTACTTAAGATTGTTTCCAAAAAACTCTGGTAGGATCTGTGGTCCTTCAGAGCAAGAAATGGGCCTGCTTTAGTCTCTAGAGCCTAGGGTGATGTTTTTGTTTTGTTTTGTTTTTTTTTAAAGATTTTATTTATTTATTTGACAGACAGAGATCACAAGTAGGCAGAGAGACAGGCAGAGAGAGAGGAAGGGAGGCAGGCTCCCCACTGAGCAGAGAGCCCGACGTGGGGCTCGATCCCAGGACCCCGGGATCATGACCCGAGCCGAAGGCAGAGGCTGCAACCCACTGAGCCACCCAGGCGCCCCAGGGTGATGTTTTTTAAATGAATAAATGATCCCCATCCCCAGCCTCTACCAGGTGGCCATTCTGCTGCCTACTTTGGTTTTCATCAGCCATTCCTGTAGTAAAATATCAGGAGTTCCTCCATGGGAGACAGTACTTTGGTTCATCTCTGACTCCCCTACCCCTTAGTGCCTAGCATACGGGAGCCATGTAGGAAAGGAAGAAAGGGCAGTGTGGGTAGATAGATGAAAGCATGGTTGGACGGATGGATGGATGGATGGATGGAAATATGGTTGGATGGATAGATGGGTAGTTTGATGGATGGATGGATGGAAAGATGGACAGATAGATGGATGAAAGCATGGGTGGGTAGGTGGATGAATAGATGGATGGAAGGAAGGAAGAAAGGAAAGATGGATGGATGGATGGGTGGATGGATGGATGGGTGGGTCAAAAATGGGAGGATGGAAGAATGAGTGGTTGGAACTGTCAATGGATATGTGGACAGACAGGTGGAAGGATGAGCGGAAGACAAGATGGATGATTGGCCAGAGAGAAGAATGAAGGATGAACAGAACAATGGGTGGATGGAAAGAGCACCGTACAGACGGATGGATGGATGCATACATGAACCCAACAGGAAGAAAACAATTTGGAATATAGTGAAAGTATCTTGGGAAAGCTGTCCAAATAGCACCATGCAAATCCCCAAGAAATGCTCCCAAGGGAAATAAGAAAAAGGAAAGAGAGAAAAAGGAGCCCAACTTTAGATCAGAGAAGATAAAGTGCCCAGGCCAGGAAAGGTGTCCAAAGTTGAGCTGAGAGAGGAGGAGAATTTGCGGGTTCAAGACTTACCCTTGACAAGGGCCTTCAAGACGATGGTCTCAAATTCCTCAGGGCCGTCCTCAGATGAATAGACTGTCAGCAGCTCCTTCCGGGTCATGATCCTCTCCACCTGCAGAACACCACGTTCCGCACCCTCCTGCCCAATGCCACCTGTCCCTCTCCACAGAGTCACAGGAGACCATTCCCTCCAGGACCTAGTAATCTAGATGCCCGGCACCCTCTACTCCCAAAACCTGGGAGTCTGGGTCCCTAGGCCTCTCCACCCTCAAATCAATGAGTCTGGGCCTCCATTCTCCTTTTCCCTGGGATCCAGGACTCCCAAGTCCTCAGTATTCTCATCCCTCAAGACCCAGGGACCTGGGTCCCTAGCTCCCTCCCATCTCAGGATTCAGAGCTGGGCCCCCAATGTCATACCTGGGCCTGCAGGACCTCAGGGTCCCCTCTGGGGAAGAAACGCTTAATCCGATCCCAGGCTTCACCTCGCTTGCTCTCCCCTCTCCCTGGAGCCACAGTGTCCTCCAGGATCTCTGCCAGGCAGTCTGCAGCTCCCCCAGACCCGGCCACCAGGAGGCAGGGGAGCTGAGCCTGGGTGGCATTCTCTATCCGCTACAGGACAAAGAGGGCAGTCTGATCAGGGAAGGAAGGTGTTCATCCCACCTAGAGTCCAGATCCCCAGCCCTGTCCTCCCCTGATACTCAGAAGCCAGGAGTCAGTCTATACCTTTAACATCTTCTCATCACCATCGATCAAGAGGAGGAGGACAGGGATGTCAATTCCAGTCCCTGAAGAGAAGAGAGCAGGGGGCTTCGTCACCTCCCCTGAGACAAACTTGACTCTTGCCTAATCCTGTGTCCTGGGGCCCACAGGAATCATCATATCATTTTTTTTTAAAGATTTTATTTATTTATTTGATGACAGAGATCACAAGTAGGCAGAGAGGCAGGCAGAGAGAGAGAGAGAGGAAGGGAAGCAGGCTCCCCGATGAGCAGAGAGCCCAATGTGGGGCTCAATCCCAGGACCCTGGGATCATGACCTGAGCCGAAGGCAGAGGCTTAACCCACTGAGCCACCCAGGCACCCCATGGGAATCATCATATCTTTAAGCGGGTTAGGCAGGACCAGATTTTTAAGACAGCAATACTTGACTTCTCAGGGAAGGAAGGGGCTGGGGGCCTGCACTACTAGGTTCCCAAACGAGGCAAGTATTTATGGCATAAGTCACTCCTGTGATTGGTTAACAGCCCAGGAGCCAGGAAAGGATGGAAGTTTAAACAGAAATGAAGGAAATAAGGAATAGAAAGATCTAGGGGCACCTGGCTGGCTCAGTTGGTAGAGCACGTGACTCTAGAGGGGGATTGTGAGTTTGGGCCCCATATTGGGTGTAGAGATTACTTAAAAATAAAATAAAAGAAAGAGGGTGCCTGGGTGGCTAAGTCGGTTAAGCATCTGCCTTCGGCTCAGGCCAAGATCGCAGGGTCCTAGGATCAAGTCCCACATCAAGCCCCTACTTTGAGCCCCGAATCGGATGCCCTGCTCAGCAGGGAGCCTGCTTCTCCCTCTGCCCCTCACCCCTCTCCCCTCCCGCTCTCTCTCACTCGTTCTCTCTCTCTCAAAAACAACTAAATAAAATCTTTAAATGAAAGAAAGAATAAACTATCTAAATACAATACATTGCTAAAGCCTAACAACAAAATCATGTAAGACAGTTTACTACTAATTCTATTTCCAGTAAAATAACAAATACATGTTACTTCTTTTCACACTCACCCAGGAGTTTTGAGCTAATGGAATGACGCAAGGAAGTAAAATCTGAATGCAGATGAATATTTTTTTTTAAGCTGGAAGAGACAAAGTTATCTATTGGAAGAAAACCTGACTTAGATTCTCAGAAAATTGGAGAGACTGCACTCAAAATAAATAAATATTAATAAAAGAGGATGGATACCAAAAAAATACACAAAAACCAAAAACTTTCTCCAAACTAGTAATGTCCCTTATTCATGTTTTCATAAAAATGATAAATTACCTGGGAATTAATTCATCCAGAAAGGTATGAGATTTTTATGAGGAAACTGACAAACCTTACTTAAGGACCAGGCTTAAATAAAGGGGAAAACAAACACCACGTTAAAATATCAAAAAGTGACATAAAATTCAATGCAGCTTGGGGAAAAGGGGGGGGGATAGAAGGAGTGTGGAGGTGTTTTCCCTTTTTTCTTTCTTTCTTTTTTAATTTATCTATTTGAGAGAGAAGGACAGCATGTGAGAGAGAGAGAGACAGAGCACAAGCAGGGTGAGGGGTAGGGGGTTGGGAGAAACAGGCTCCCTGCTCAGCACAGAGCCCTAGGTGGGACTCCATCCCAGGACCCCGAGATCATGGTCTGAGCTGAAGGCAGTCGCTTAACTAACTGAACCACACAAGTGCCCCTCTTTCTTTCCTTTTTAAGATTTTTTTTTTCCTTTTTTAAGTAATCTCTATACCCTATGTGGGGCTTGAACTCACAACCCCAGGATCAAGAGTCACAGGCTCCATTGACTGAGCCAGCCAGGCACCCCGTGCCCCTCTGGTCTTTTTTTTTTTTTTTTTAATTTTTTATTTATTTGACAGAGAGATGGAGAGCACAAGTAGGCAGAGTGGCAGGCAGAGGGAGAGGGAGAAGCAGGCTCCCTGCTGAGCAGGGAGCCCAATGCGGGGCTCGATCATGACCTGAGCTGATGGCAGAGGCTTAACCCACTGAGCCACCCAGGCACCCCTGTTTTGTTTTGTATTGTTTAAAGATTTTATTTATTTATTTGACAGAGAGAGATCACAAGCAGACAGAGAGGCAGGCAGAGAGAGAGAGAGGGAAGCAGGCTCCCTGCTGAGCAGAGAGCCCGATGTGGGACTTGATCCCAGGACCCTGAGATCACGACCTGAACTGAAGACAGAGGCTTAACCCACTGAGCCACCTAGGCACACCCCCCCCCCTTTTTTGATATATGCATTTAAATCTACAAATTTCCCTCTAGATACCACTTTGGTTGCATCTCTGACAGGCTCTGTAGGTCATACATTTCTTACCATTCAGTTCAAAATATTTTCTGGCTTTTTTTGTTTCTTTTTTGACTTGTGAGTTATTTACTGACCACAACTTGTGCAACGAATCTCACAGAAATAACACAGACTACAACAAGCCAGACTTGAGAATGTGCAGACGCTAGAGGATTCTGTCCACACGCACGGAGGCACGGCCAGAAGCCCTCCCTGCGCTACCAGAGGGCGGGGGGACCCTCGCGGCCAGAAGGAAAAGGCTTCTTGGGGCCGGTGATAGGTTTCTTGATCTGGGTGCTGGTTTCACACACGGATTCAGTTTCTTAAAACTTTACCAAGCCATCTGCTTCCGTGTCGCTTAGATTTCGAGACAAAGATTTTTTTAAAAACAGAGCAAATAGTGGGAGAAGGTACTAGACCGAAGATAACTCCTCGGCCCCTCAATCCCCAAACCTCGACCAGACCGGACCACGGGGACCCTGAGCCTCGCACCGTGGTCCCCTGTGGAGGAAGCCACTCACCACCCACGCCAGTCTTCTGCTGCGCGATGTAGGACTCAAAGCGGAGGCGAAAGCGGTTCTCGCCGCCCAGGCGGCCATGGGTGCCGTCGTCCACCAGGAAGAAGGCCGAGTAGTTGTAGTCGAGCGGAAACTGGACCCCATCCTCGCGGTCACCACGCCACGGGTACGTCGCAGGGAATGAGCCCTGGGCAACAATTGGCCAAACCAAAGAGTTTTTCCATCAGGATCAGGACAGACAGGAGCCCCTCCTCCCTCAGACTCCGGTCCGAGGCCCCAGACCCTCCTCCCTCGGACCCAGGGATCTAGGCCCTTAGCCCCTCCTTTCTCAGACCCAGGGGTATGGCCCCCCAACCCCTCCTCCCTTGGACCCAGGGATCCAGGCCCCCAGCCACCTCCTCCCACAGACTCAGGGTTCCCAGCCCCTCCTTTTCCAAGACTCTGGGTCCCACCTTGGGGTTAGTGAGGGCATCTCTATTCCGAACCACGCCCCAGGGGGCCACGCCCATGGCCACCACCTTGGTGCCGCCAGTGCTGGCCGTCTGGTGGTCCCGCACAGCCACACCAACGTGCCGGCCGATGCCCCTGTGCAGACCCCCAGTGACAATCCAGGCCCCTACACAGAGACCCAGAGAGTGATAGTCAGGTCCAGAGACACGGGTGTGCAGGGACAGAGAGAGTAAGACCAAAACCCCTCAGAGCTGGGGGGAGACCGCATCCACCCCAGAGAAATGGGGGACATGGGCAGGGGCCCCAGCCTCAGTCACCTGTGCTCTGGGCAGCCCGCACCAGCCCGCGACGCAGCAGGTCCTGCAGCCAGGTGTGGAGGGTGGGGCCCCCAGACCCCCCCAACACTGACACCACCAGGTTTGGGGCCGGGAAGCCCCATGTGCGGGTGACCAGATTATACACGGTAGCTGGATCCGTGCGGTCGGAAAGCCGGAGGAACTGCGGACACACAGGAGAAGGGGACATGGGGAAAGGGACACTGACAGAGAAGGGGACAGAGACGCAGAGAACAGAGATCCAGACAGAGAAGGATGGGGAGAACAGTAACCCAAGGGGAAAGGACAGAGACCCAGAGAGAAGGCGACAGACTTAGAAAAGACGGGGGTGGAGAGAGAGAGATTCGGGGAGAGGGGAAGACAGGGATGGGCAAACGGGGAGACAGCATCCAGCAGCGGCAACCCCAGATCTGACAGGGGCGTGGGGGGCATGCAGCCCAGCTCGCGGACCCCGGCCCTGCCCCGACGTGCAGGCCTCACATTGCTGGCCTTGCGGCCGGCGCCCAGGAAATCCAGGTCCCCGTAGGCATCGGTGGGCTTCTCTGTGGTGTGCAAGTCACTGTCCCACACGGTCACCACGGCTGCCCCGAAGGCATCCTCCATGGCCACGGACGGGTGGGCACTCCGGGGACGCCCGCACTGGCACAAGTCTCCTCTGGGGAGGAGGGGGAAGGGGAGCATGAACCCCAGGGGTGTCCCTCCGCACCCCCGACCCTAAGGATCCTGTAGAAGCAACCCCCTCCCCGCAGGTAGACGCATAGTCCGGCCGACTCTGGCGCTGCCCAGTGCTGGGAAGAAAATACAGCCAGAGCCAAACGGGCCAGCGGAAGGGAGCCACAGGGGCTCAAGGAAGCCAAGCGGGGAGGCAGCCCGGCCCCCCTCACCACGCCGCACTGCCCCAGCACCACCAACCATCAGGGGCCGGCCCGCTGCCCCCAGTCCGAACAGGAGAGAACCCTCGAGAAGGAAAAGCCAGAGGTTTCAGAGAGCGCTCAGAGGCGGGGGCAGCTGTGGGACATTGAGGTTCACCTCCCTGAGCCCCCATTTCCTCCTCAGATCCAGACAATGGTAAGGCAGTGAAATCACACGGTGCGAACTAAACAGAGGGCTGCGTGGAGAAACCACTGGCCCCAAGGGGGCGCAGAGCTTCACACAACCTTGCCTTCTTGGTGCCGCATCACTGTCAAGGGGGTAGGCTTCCCGGGCGCTAGAATGTCTGCAAGGCCTAACCCTTCGCTACTCTTTTGTCTGTTCTGGGTTTGTTTGTTTTTTTTTTTTTTTTAAGTTTACTTATTTAAGTACTCTTTACACACAACGTGGGGCTTGAGCCCACGGCCTAGAGATCCAGAGCTGCCTGCTCCCACTAACGGAGCCAGCCAGGAGCCCTGCTGCCCTGCTTCCTTTTTTTTTTTTTAAACAGAAAGAAGTCTCCGAAAATTGGGCTGCCAACAGTCCAGTTAGAAGGAAAATACCTTCATTTGCTTCTCATCATGACAGTCTTCTGTGGCTTCTTTCTTTCTCTTTGCGGCAAATGGAAGTTTTTTCATTTATGGTGATCAGAGACGAAACTAATGTTTCCCTTAAATGCACAAGTAGCCCTCACGTCCCTTAAATAAATGGACAAGCGACGGGCCTCGGAGTTTTCAAGAGCAAGCAACATAGGTTTGGGGAATGAAGAATTCATTCTAGACGGGACTGCACATAGCGGAGGAGACCCCAATCTACAAAAGCAGAGTGAGCTTTGACTTAAGGACCAGTTTCACAGGGGCGCCTGGGTGGCTCAGTGGGTTAAAGCCTCTGCCTTCGGCTCAGGTCATGATCCCAGGGTCCTGGGATCAAGCCCCACATCGGGCTCTCTGCTCAGCAGGGAGCCTGCTTCCTCCTCTCTCTCTCTCTCTCTCTGCCTGCCTCTCTGCCTACTTGTGATCTCTGTCTGTTAAATAAATAAATAAAATCTTAAAAAAAAAAAAAAAAAGGACCAGTTTCACAGAAGAATACCACCGGGGGTACACGGATCTGTTAAAAGCTGTAAAGACGCTGAAACAGCGGCCATCAATCCACACCGCGGATGGACGGAACACACTCAGCCCGGCTCTTGGCGCAGTGTGTACAGTGAAGGACACATCCTTTCTCATTTCTGAGTCCACCTCCAGGGACCCGGCCTGCCTCAGTTGACCCTGTTGGTCCTTTCACCTATCTCAGTCCCATCCCTAGACCCCCTCATTACCTTCCATCTACTTCGCACTAGTCCTTGAGGATAAAACTTCTGCATGGAATGGTCCAGAACTTAAGCTGTCTAGTCTAGTTGACCTTAGCCACATGTGGCTGGTTACATTTAAATAAATTAAAGTTAAATACAATTAAGAATACAGTTCCTAGGTCACTCTGGCCACATTTCAAGTGCTTGGGAGCCACAGGGGGCCAGTGGCTGCCATACTGGACGTGGATATAGAACATTTCCCCCATTGCAGAAAGTTCTGGTGGACAGAACCGGCAGAATCCCCACTCTGCACTTCTCACCTCCTACCTCTCTTTCTCTCTGTGGCCGCTGACACTGTTCCTGACAACATCAGCAAGGACCATCATATCCCCAAACACAACAGCCTCTATTCAAGTCTCGTGTGACGATCATAAAATGGCACTGGTCACAGCTCAAAGACTGATCCTAAGAAACCTTTCTGTCCCTTGGCAGGGTTCGCCTGCTCCCCTGGCTGCCTTGTCCCTGCCACATCCGTAGCTTTTCTTTCTCGGTGCCTCCCTCGAGTGGTGGTGTTCCCAGAAGCCCAGACCACAGGGCTTCCCTGCATGGATCTCAAAGTTGATGCCCCAGGGGCCAAGAAAGTAATTTAGGGAAAAGAAGCATCAGGTGTGGGAGCTGAGCATCTGCCTCCGGCTCAGGGCATGATCTCAAAGTCCTAGGATTGAGCCCTGCATCCTGCTCAATGGGGAGCCTGCTTCTCCCTCTGCCTCTGCTGCTCCCCTGCTCCGTGGGGAGCCTGCTTCTCCCTCTGGCTCTGCTGCTCCCCCTGCTTGTGCTCGCTCTCTCTCAAATAAATAAATAAAATCTTTAAAAACAAAAAACAATAAAAAATAAAAGTTCTCTTCTGTGCAAAAAAAAAGGCCATAAAGTTGCTAGCACACCTTCCCCAACTTTGCACATATCCCCCCCGACGTTTTACCTTCTACAGTTTCAGTTACCATCTTCAGCTAAGACTTCTTGAATGCTGCACAGAAGTCACAGACCCAGGTCTGCAGTGTCCCCTAGTCCCCTCCGAGGCCCCTGACATGTGAAGACCCATGCTGAGCTTGGAAATACTCCCCAGACCCACTCATCCTCCTGGATTCCCCATCCTGGGGACAACCCCACTATCTCCCAGGTCCCAGACCAGATGTTCAAGACATCCTCCCCTCCTCTTACTCCTCAAATCCAGCGGTCCCCAAGCTCCTGTCCCCATCCCCATCCTGTGTCCCCACAGGGGTAGGCCTGGCTCAGGACTCTTCCTGTCCCACCCAGACCCTAGCCCAGCCTTTCCTGTGGCTTCTTGAACTCCTCTTCATCCTCACACAATCCCCAGAGGCTCTTTCCACACTCAGAGCTGATCCCGCCCCTCCCACTGCTTCCCAGCACCCCAGGCCAAAGTCTAGGCTCTTGAGGCCAGTGACGTTTGGCCCGCCCTCCTCCACGTAGACCTCCTACACCTTGAACTTTGCACATGTTCTTCTCACGCCTTTAAATGCACGCTCTCCTCTCCCTGACGCCTTCAACTGTCAAATGCCAGCTCATCCTTCAAATGCCACCTCACCGGCCCCTCCTCCTCCAGAAGCCACCTGTGACACCCTGTGTGCCCTCCTCAGCCATAGCCAGACCGGAGAGGGCCCAGCTGCTTGTCATTCCGAGCTCCCATCTCTCTACCTTAGTCCTCGTCCCACCAGACCAGAGGTCCCTACACTGCCTCGGCCACACTCCCCACCAGTAAAAAGGTCTGGAGCACTCGCCCCCAGTAACGTCCATCTGTTTATTTGGGCATCATTGCAAGCCTTACTGAACTACTATGTTCCCAGGACTCACTAAGTGAGGAATGGTGACATCTCCCATGCCCACCACGATGGTCTTGAAAACAACTTCAAAGCCAGAATCCACTGGAGAGACCGTCCCTGAAGGCCAGGGGCTCCCCGAGATAGGCAAATGCTGCACAGGCCTCATGCAAGTGTCCCAGCCACCAAGCCCAAGCACGGGGCCTCCCCCAGAAGTAACTGCTACCTTCCAGGAGTCATCGCGGGCATTTTCCAGCACCAACCACATGCTGGGCCCCGTTCCAGAAATTCACAAGCAGGTACTTGTTTAAATCCTCACAATAAATGCCCACTCAAGACGTAAGGCCTGGCTTTACAGCAGGTGACAGCTGAGGCCCAGGGATATGAAAGGATTTACCCAAAGCCACACAGCACCAGTCCCGGGTGACATCTGAACCCTGCCAGGGCCTGTGCTCCTGATAATTACGCTCCCTTGGGAGCACTGAATGCAGGCTTCTTGGGTGAATGAATGAACGAACGAACGAATGAATGAAACAAACAGCCAAAAGGAAAAGAAAGTGACGCAAGAAGACGCAGAGAAGAGACACAGGGAAAGAAAGAAACAGAACTAAGCCTGGGGCTTTAACACTGACCCTGCCCAAAGGGAAATTGGAAGAGTCTGCACGGACCCAAACCCTCCCCAAACCCTCCCCCTGGAGAAAGCGCCACCAGGGCACGCCCTTGGAAGTGACCGCAGTGACAGGAGGGGAGCGGGGAGCGAAGGTGGGCGGGGTCAGCGGGCCGGGACGCTCCGGGGTCGATCCCAGGGGCGAACTCCTCACCCCGCATCTGTGGGGTCAACGATGAATGTCGTGCACGTCTTCTTCTTGAAGATCTTGGGGATCCAGCTCTGGGGACAGGAACAAGGGGTGGGAGGGCTCCAGCTCAGTCCTATGGATACGAGTCCCCCATCCCGCACCCTTCCCCGGACCCAGGAGTCTGGGACCCCAGCGCCTTCCTCCCCCAGCCTCAGGACTCCCCTAGCCCCCCACTCCTATCTGTCCCCAATGACCCAGGAGTCCGGAGCCCCCCAACCTCCGGGATCCCCCACCCCAACCCCCTCCCTCATCTGAACCAAGAATCTGGGTCTCCAGCACCCTCCTCGCTGGGAACCCGGAGGCCAAGCCTGGGAGTCCGGCCGCCGTACCTGCTCCTTCTCCGGCCCCACCATGCTGCCGCAGCCGCCGCAACCTAACCGACTCCCCACATTCCCTCCACCAACCCCGATTCCAGACCCGCCCAGGACAAACCGGATCCGCCACTTCCCAGCCGGGGCGGGGCCAGGTCTGGGGGGGGCGGGGAGTCCTGCGGATGCGAAAACGAGAGGCGGGGCAAAGGGACAGTCGGACCGGCCAGTCGAAGACCCAGAGGGGGCCTGAGAGCCAGAGAGAGGGGGCCAGAGAGCCAGAGAAGGAGGGACAGAAACCAAGAAAAGGGGTGTCAGAGATCAGAAAGAGACAAATCCAGAAAGAGGGCACAGAGATCCAGAGAAGGAGGGACAAGAGACTGAGAGAGGGAAAAGGAACCAGAGAGAGGAGAACAGGACCCAGAAAAGGGATGTCAGAGACGGGAGAGAGAGAAACGGAGATTGGGGTGGGGAGGGGGGAGACAGAGACCCAAGATGGAATGCCAAAGGTAGGGAGGGGGTACATTAATCTATGGTGGGGGGGCGGGCACAAAAACTTAGGTAGGGGGCAGAGAATCAGAAAGGGGGTGAACAGAGATTTGGGGGGGTACACTGTCTCAGAGAGAGAAATACAAAGAGTTGGGTGGAGAGCAGACACTCCGAGTGACAAGATAGTAGAATCCTGTGGCTGGGGAACAGTGGGTGGCAGAAATGAGAGAGGGAGTCCCATAAAGAGGGCTGGGGATCCAGAGGGCCAGGGCAATAGTGACAGGGTGAGGAGTGGGAGATAGTGACCCACAGACAGGCAGGGCCACGTGTCTCCTGCCAGCTCTCACAGGGACAGCTGCGGCCTAGCTGGGTAACCTGAGCCCCCCCCCCCCCCCCCCCCCCGCTGTATTTATAGCCCTGGCCTGGCCTGGTCTCCTGCCCTTGGCTCCAGGGACAGCAGGTCACAGGTGTGTGTGCTGGAGCGAGCTCCTTCCACCCGTCCAGGGCCTCCATACTGTCATCCACACTCTCGGCAAAGGCTCCCCGCTCTGGCCAGAAACTCCCCAGAATCCAATCCCAATCCTTCCGTGGCAGAGGTCTCTCCTCTCAGATGGGTCCCTCCAGCCCCCACAGTTGTCTTAGGCTCCCCCCAACTTGGCCCACTAAAAGTCTACCCATTATCTTTGCTGCTACAAAACATGAACTTGTTGGCAACCAAGTCAAGCCCTTGGTCCCCAGTCCTGGCCAGGCTGAGACCCCTTCACCTGCCCCTTCCCCAGCTCTGGGAGGAGGAGGAGCAGGAGGGGAGGGGCAGGCGGGGACTGACCCAGAATAACTCAGGGCAGAAAGTAAATTTAGCCACAGAGAGGGGAGGAGAGAGACCCTATTGGCTGGGAGGTGGGGAGGGAGGGCCTGAGAGGGGGGTGAGGGGGCTCCTGAGACAGCCTCCGAGGGGGGTCCAGCAGTGAGGGCCCGGAGGAAGGCAGACAGCAGAGGCAACAGGGGACATAGCAAAGGAAAGACACAAGCAGAGAGAACCAGAAGGACCCAAAAAGGGGCAAGGAACGCAACACTCGTCCACCGAGCCACAGAGGCAGCTGGAGCCAGCCCTGGGAGAAGCTCGCTGCCTGTCTGTCCCCATGGGCCACCGGGGGCCATGGCTGCACACTTCTCTCCTCTGGGTGGCCGTGGCCAGTCTGCTCCTCCCCCCTGCCATGACCCAGCAGCTGAGAGGGGCTGGGCTGGGCCCCAGCAACTGGAACAACAATGCGGGAGTCGTGGGGCCCTCAGAGGACGTGTCTGGTGACTTTGGCCACCCCACGCACAGCCACAGAGGCCACAGAGATGAGAACGAGGACGTCTCCAGGGAGTACAGTCACGGAGACCACAGGTACCAAGTCCACGAGGTCAGAGAAGAGAATATCCCGGATGAGGAGGTCTTCACCGAACATGCTCGGCAGGCTTATGGGCACAGAGGCCATGGGAACGAAGATGTGGATGATTCAGACGAGCCCGGACCCCACTTCCCCAGCCACAGAAGCCAGGGCCACCAAGATGAGGATGAGGAAGGATCCAGCAAGGATCACCATCATACCATCAGGCACATCCATGGAGGCCACGGAGAAGAGGATGATGAAGATGAGGAGGAAGGGGTGGTCTCCACTGAGTATGGACACCAGGCCCACAGGCACCAAGGCCACGAGAGGGAAGAGGATGAAGACCTCTCAGATGAACATCCCCATCATGTCCCCAGCCACAGGCACCGAGGCCATGGAGAAGAAGAAGGTGGTGATGATGATGATGATGTCATCTCCACTGAATACGGACACCAGGCCCACAGGCACCGAGGCCACAGGAAGGAAGAGGATGAAGACCTCTCAGATGAACACCACGATCATAGCCCCAGTCACGAACACCGAAGCCCCAGAGAAGATGAGGAAGAGGACACGTTCACTGAGGATGGATACCAGGCCCACTGGCACCGAGGCCATGGGAGGGAAGAGGATGAAGACATCTCAGATGAACACCATCACCATATCCCCAGCCATGGACACCGAGGCCATGGAGACGAAGATGGGGATGAGGATGAGTCTACCGAACACTGGCACCAGATTCCCAGACATACTCACCTTGGAGATGAGGAGGAAGAGGAAGAGGAGGTCACAGTCACGTTCAGCCACCACGTTGCAAGCTCCCAACACCCGGGCCCCGAGAGCACGGAGGAGGACGACTTTCCAGATGAATATAAGTCAGTAGCCCCTGCCCATAGAGTCCCCAAGGACGAAGACGAGGACATCTCTGACAAGCTTGGTCACCAGGCTCCCAGCCACAGGCAACAAGGCCACCAAAATGAAGGGCCTGGCCACAGAGGGTCTGCGGAAGATGAGATTAGCCACCAGCCCCTGGAACACATGGGGGTCAAGGATAGAAGCCATTTGAGGGAGAGAGATTCTGAGGATGGAGAGAAGAAGGAAGACCGGAGCTCCCACGAGGAAGACGATGAAAGCTCAGAACAGGGAGAAGGCACCCGCCATGGCAGCCTAGATGAGCAGGATGAAGAAGATGAGGAGGAAGGTCATGGCCTCAGCCTGAGCCAGGAGGAGGAGGAGGAAGAGGAGGAGGAAGAGAAGAGGGAAGGGAAGGCTGAGGTTCAGACCCCACTGAGCCAAGACCACCGGGAGGGGGAAGAGGAGGAGGACGGGCTGGAGGAAGAGGAGCTCCCCTTCACCATCATCCCTAACCCGATGGCCAGGAGGGAGGTGGCCGAGGGTGGCTCCAGTGAGGAGCAGAGTGGCGAGGACACGGGTAAGTGGTCTGGCCAGGTGGGGGGCAGGGAGGAGCGGAGTCAGCACGCTTCACTGCTGCTCTCCTGTCCCCACAGATCTGCAGGGGGCCCAGGAGTACAGCAACTACCAGCCTGGGTCCCTGTGCGGCTACTGCTCCTTCTGCAATGTGAGTGCCCAGCCCAGGTCCATCTTCCAGGCTGTTCCTGGAATTTGTCCCAGGGTTCTAAGGTGCCTGGGGGCAGTGCCAGGTGAAGAAGGATGCTTCTGGGGCCATGCAGCAGGCAGACTGGAGGCTGGGAAGCTGAGAAGGAGGCCGGGGCAAGGGTCCGGGAGGAAGTGGGGCCTGAGCTGTACTCGCCAACTCAGGGATGGAGGGGAGGGTCTGTGGCGGAGTCGAGGGTGGGTGGAATGGGACTGGGGTCTGGCAGGCTGTGGGGAGAACAGGGAGAAGGCATGAAGAGAACACCCACAGGTCCAACCCACAGCGACAGGGGGACCTCGCAAGAGGGGAACAAGGGGGAAGCTGCTGAGCTCGGTGTGGGAGGTAATGAGCGTGGGGAGCTGGGGAAATGTCCAGGGGGCAGGGTGAAGGGCTGGCGGGTGGCTCTTAAATGGTATCCCCAAACCTGAATCCTCCTGTCCCCAGAGATGCACTGAATGTGAGAACTGTCACTGCGATGAGGAGAACATGGGGGAGCACTGCGACCAGTGCCAGGTGACACTTTCCCGAGACCCAGGTTCCACCACGCCCCAGGACGGCAGGGGGCCCCCTGGACACCCACAGTCCCAAATCCTGGCCGCTGCCTTCAGACTGACCCAACCCTCTATCCCCATCCCTGGTGCTACCTTGACTCCACACTCGATCCCGCCTCTAACCTTAACCTCCGACTAGGGCCCCTGGCCGGCACCCGCCCCCATCCCGGCTCCGCCCCGACCAAGTCTTACACTTGTGCCTCTCCCCATCCCCACCCCCAGCACTGCCAGTTCTGCTACCTCTGCCCTCTGGTCTGCGAAACGGTCTGCACGCCGGGTAAGCCAGACAAACTCCGTGGAGGCAGAGCCCAATCCGACAGGCGGGCCTGGGAGGCTGCAGGGCGTGGCTAGGCGCGGAGGCGGGGCCAAGGCTGGGAGTCCGAGGGCGGGGCGGAGCGCGCACGGAGAGGCGGGGCCTGGGCCGAGGGAGGGGTGGGGCTAGATACTGAGGCCTACTTAGGCCAGGGGTGGCAGGTTGAAGGACGGGCCTGCTGAAGCAGGTAGAATTGGAAAAAAGGGGGTTTCAGGAGAATGGGAACACCAGGAGCACGGAGAGAGGCGCAGGACCTTGAAAGGAGTGCTAACAGAAGGAATTCAATTTAGGGAAGGAATTAGGACAAGGGGGAGCGGCGGGGGGGGGGGGGGCAGAGCTAGTCTGGATTCCAGGTTCCTCTACTTTCGCCTGTGGTGTACCACTCAAGCCTCTTTTCTCCCACAGGAAGCTACGTCGACTATTTCTCCTCCTCCCTGTACCAGTAAGTGTGTGGAGGGGGGCAGTTTGAGGGCCCTGTTTAGAGAGGCGCAGTCCCGCTGAGTGACTGGACGACCCTGGGACTCCATTGCCCTGTCGGTAAAAATGGGCAGGTTAACATCCCCATCGAAGCGCCTGGGGCGAGCCTTGGGCACTTGGGCTGTCTAACCTCACGTCCTCCTCTCCAGAGCCCTGGCGGACATGCTGGAAACTCCGGAACCCTGACCATGGGGCTGCGGTGCAGACGCACCTGCCTGGCCCTCCGACCCCTTCCCATGAGCCATATTTATTGAATTGCAGTATGAATAAACATGCTCCCCGAAACCTCGTCGTCAGGCGTGGGGTCCGGATTCTCGGGGCACCAGGGAAGGAGCGGGTGGGGATTTGGGACTTAGACTCATGGGTGGGAGGGAGGGGCGATCTGGCCTCCCGGTTTCCTGAGGAGGTCGGTTTTCCTAAGGTCCTGACAAATAAATCAGGCAACACGGGAGCTTTTTGAAACAGTTCTCTTTACCCGTGATCACTGAGTGACGCCTGGGGCAGGGAGGCCGACCAAGAGTCTCGGGCGAGGGCTCCCCCACCGTCCTCCCGCCCCCCACGCCACGTCGCCCAGTGGCATCGTGGAAAGAGGATTCTCCCATGCAAACCCCGGAGCCGGAGGGGAACCGGGAGCGCAGTTCTGCACCCCCTACCCCCGGGGCACGGACACGGCCACAGCACGGGGGGCGGAGAGGCCCCGGGGACACGAGACACTGGGGAGGAAGAAGGGACTCCACCCGCAGCTGACCCCAGGCACCGGCGACCTGACGCGGCGGGGCGGGGATGAGTGGCACATGGGGCGAGGCTTGTAGCAGCGAGTCCCCCCTCCCCTCCTTTCGGACGAAGAAGGAAGACTTGGGCCCCGCGACTGGGGAGGAGAAAGGGGAGCGGGCAGCCTCTCCTAGCATGCGGCCCGGGAGGGAAGCCCCGCTCCCTTCCCACGGGGAAAGGGCACCCATCTCCCATCGGAAACTGATCAATAAATTACAAAGTAGAGAAAAGGGAGGCGGAAGTTTGGGGCGGGATTTCTTCCTGCCCTCTTCGTTCCCCCTCTCAGTCCAGTTCGTGTGGTTTGGTCCAGACCCAGTCCTTTTGTGAGGCGGGGACTCGCACTCCCTGCTCGTCTGTACAGATGGTCCAGTCCGCGGCGCGAGCTCCCCCGCCCGCTCTCCCGGGCGAGACCATACTCTGGGCAGGAGGGGGAACAGCCCAGCGTCTGGAAGATTCTTCCATCCGAGTGAGGTCACCTGCATTGACGCCGGGGGCAGTACGTGGAGCCGTGAAGATCCATAGTGCCGCCCCGACCCCCCAAGATCGCCCAGGACAGTCCTCACCTGGAGGCCTACACTAGCAGGAGTAGGTCCGGACCGAAACGCCGTCTGCCCGGGAGCTCCCAGAAGTCTGGCCTAAAGGGAGAGCGAGCATTGGTTTGGTCTGGTGCGCACGCGCGTGTCCCCCCCACCCCCCCTCCCACACACGGTAGGGTTTCTCTGATCCTCAACCCCAAGCGTCCTCTCTTCGATTTCCCTTCCTGCGATGACAACGAACACCCGGCTCCACGCCGGTTTCCCTCCCCTTCCCGCAGCTGCGGATTCATCTAAGGTGCCCCAGGTGACTGTGGGCGGACTCATTTCCCACTTCGGAGAGGGGTGGGGGTTAATCCACTCCACACCCGGAGGGGGGAATTAGACTGAGCAAGCCATTCGTCACGCGTCAGGGAGAAAAGGACTAGGCCATTTCACAGAACCTGGAGGGAGGCTTCTGGAATGTAGGGTTGGTCCTTTTCCCACCCCGAGCAAGGGGAAGGGAGGAGGGGCAGTCGCCCTGGGGAGCCGCCCACCTTCGGGCTGCAGCTTGCGGAGAGGAAGCCCGGGGGATCCCAGGGCCCCCGCTGCGGCCGAACGAAAGTTGGGGGGTAACATCTCAGCTGAGTCGGGGGTTACGCCTCGGAGGTCCTTCTCTCGAAACATCTTCCTCCAGGACGGGGAGCGGCTGAAGGACTTGGCGCTATCCTAGGTATAGGGGCCGGGCCGGCGATGAGCAACGCGGACCGGTTCAGTCCCTTCTTTTGACTCCGCCCCGCTCGGGTTGCACCTCTCCCTTAGCCCCGCCCCTGCCCTAGCCCCGCCTCCAGCCGCCTCCGGCTGGTGCGGTCAAGCCCCATCCTTCAGCTCAGGCCCCGCAGGTGTCGCTAGCTGCGCCCACCTCGTCCAGCCTCCTGTCGGTGCCCAAGGAGATGAGGTTGCTGAACTCCTTCTCCAGGAGCTGCCGGGCCTGGGGACGAGAGATGGAAGAAGGGTGGCAGCGTGCAGTCTGCGAGGTGGGGGGTGCCCCATGTGCCCCGGGCCGAGCGGCCGCTCACCTGCGCATTCTGTGTGGGGATCTGCAGGAGCAAGGCCAGGTCGGAGTAGTCGAAGGTCTCGTCCAGGGCGAGCAGCGCCCCGTGCACCCCACTCTCCGTGAGGTTCGTGGCGAATTCCTTCAGTCCCAGCCCGGACACCCAACCCATGACCCGCTCGTTGGACCACACCATCACGTCTGGGACAGAAGGGGCTCTCAGTGGCCGGCCGGTCCAATTTAAGCCCCAGGTCTCCTCCATTTCCCTTTTCCGGACCCCCGCCCCCTACTCTGGCCCCGCCCCTCCCCCTCCCTTAATCACACCTCCTCCCCACCTGCCCTAAACTCCTCCACCTGGCCTGGGGAGTGGGGGGGAGGAGACTCCTATGCTTCTACTCACCCCGGATCTGGGTCTGACTCTCTTCCCGCCTCCGCTCCAAGTCCTTCCGGTCATAATTGAGCCGTTTCAGGCACATGATCCCATAATGCAGACTCACCCTGGGCAGTAGGGAAAGCGGGGTCACAGAGGAGCCTTCACAACTCCTGCGGCGGCGGCTGCTTCCCTCCCCACTGGCTGTGGTCTTCTGGGAAAGGTTGGGGAGTTGTTCTACTGGGTCAGTTTTGGGATCGCTGACCCTCCCAGACTTGGGGTATTTCCAACAGGCAGTTCCTACTGGATAACCTGGACAGGATGTGGGGTCAACGAGCCAAGCTGTCTGAGGACGTGAACTTTTCCTAGCAGGCCGCCTTATTGGCGGAAAGGACACAGAACTCGGGATTTCCTGAGAATCCGGGTGAAAGGGCCACAGATAGTTCCCGTCACCAGTCCCACCGGCCAACGACTCTCTAGGAGCGAGGCCTCCCCTCGGACTGTCCCCTTTGGCCAGGCAGCCCCCACCTGTGGAAGCTGTCCACCATCTTGAGCTGGCCCCGGAGCTCCTTCTTGTTAAGATGATCTAACATGCGGGCGTCCACCAGCGACTCCATGAAGTAGCTGCGGTACTGGGGCAGCCCCAGGCTGGGCAGCCAGTCGTTCCCCACCCACTCGTGGTTCATGTCACCATATGCCAGGATCTGGGGCCATGGGCAGGTGGGGGGAGGGGTCAGGCCCTCTGACCCCTTCCCATGTCCGTAGGAGGGTGCGCTCCAACCCCCTGACCCAAGGTCGTTCTTTCTCCACCCCACCTTAGGGACATCGGTCAACCTCTGCTCAGGACGATGGACCCATCCAGTGGTCTCCTACACCTTCCTAATAACAGAGCAGACCCTTGTCTCCTGGGAGTGTGGGCCCGGGACCCACAGGATCACCATCACCTGCGCACCTGCCGGCACTGCAGCATCTCAGACCCTCCCCCTGCTGGGAAGCAGAAGCTGCTCGCCCACCAGAGCCTCAGGCTACCGGAGCGGTCAGGGGGGAGAAGTACTAGTCCCAGCTCCGAACAATGCATCAGCCCAACATCACTCTCCCCCAGTCGGGACAACCGATTCTTTCAATGTAGCTGTCCCCACAACACACGATAATGGATCCATCCATCACTCTTGCACTGTCCAAAAATACCAGTCTCATGCTATAGCTATCCCAGGACAGTATTCTGGATTGGCCCAAAGTCCTTCACTCCGTTTAGCGCAAGGAAGCAATCAACACCTTCCCCCACCACCCCCCGCGCTCCCCCGCCCCACTGGAAAGGAAGACCCAGGTCCAACCTAGCTCGGCTACCTCAGGGGAGTTCATGCCTCTCCTTTCTTGAGAACAAAGTGTAGCTCTTCCTTCCCCGCCAACTTCTCAGCCTGACCTGCGCGGACCCTCCCCAAGATGCTTCCCCCCCCTTTGCCTCAGGACACTGGAACAGCCCCACTCCCCCTCGATCAGAGAGAAAAGGTCTCCCCTAGTTACAGCACTGGAACAGCCCCTGGTGCCCCGCAACCCACGATAATGGAATGGTCCGAGCCCCACGCTAACGATGGACTAGTCCAGGCTTCTCCACCGACCCCCACCAAGCCACAGTGAGACAGTCCAGAGCCCAGCTCCACGCAGCGGCCCCCCCGCGGTGATGATGGAACGCTCCGGCGAGAGGGCGGGGCTTGGGGAAAGAGGGGCACGCATGCAGCATGCACAGCCTGTTCATGCGTCCACGTCCCACCCCGCGCCCCCTACCTGCTCCCAGCTGATCTCCTTGGTCTCCTGACCCGTTAGTAGGAAGAGGGGAGAGAAGGGGTGGGTTAAGGGGCCGGCGGAGGGCGGGAGGAACGAACAGACTGACGAACGGAGGGAGATTCACCCCCCGCCCCACTCCTCCCCAGGAGAGTCAATGCCACCCCCAAGGCCACCGGCAGGGGTCACTCACAGGCTTGGTCGTGGCCGTCAGGGACTCCATCTCCTCGTGTGTCATCCACACGTTTCCTGTGGACTGAGGGGCGAGGGTTGTTATGGGGATTGAGAGGCGGCTTCTGGGTGGGGGAGAGATGTTCCTAGAGGCCCAGACCAGGTCCGCTTACATACATTCTGCTTTCTGCCTCAGAAAGGCCCGTCACTGCTGTGGGCCAGGCAGTGAAAGAGAAAGGGAATGGTCATTTATTGAGCACCTGCTGTGTACCAGGCAAAAGAACATGGGCTTTGAGGTCTGGCCAGTTCAGGTTTGAATTGAGGGCCTGCCCGGGTGTTTTGCTGTGTGGCCCTGGGCACATCACCTCTTTGACCTCTCGCAGGTGTGTGTAAAGTGACTTTCAGAACGAGGAGGCAGATACAGCAGTGGGGTGGGACAAAAGTTTGGAGGGTGGTAAAGGGGCTGTGTATTAGCATTTACTGAGCACCTGCCCCCAACAGCCCCATGAGTTCGGATTTCACACATGGATTCAGACGCCTCTGTAGCTCCTCATGGGAGCCAGGCATGGTTGTAGGGTCTGGGACACAGGCGGGGAAATTTGAAAATGGACTGAAAAGATGAAACTGACAATAATGGTCACGTTCTTAGGTATAAGGGCGCGGTGGCTGCGGGGGA